GAATGAAGTAACAGTTGAATAATTCTCATTCATGATTTTTTCGAAGATAATTTTATTCCAAAGAAAAGAATACTTCCAATTCAGTTACGTGAATCACTTTAACACAACGAATGAATTGTAATACATAGTTGATGATACATATAAGAGATAGAAGAAGTACATTATCAATGTAATACATGGTGATTCATTGGGAAATGCGCATACAGTAAGGGTAGATGGAAGACACCAAGGTGCTTCCAGATAATCCATATTTCATAGATCTATCGTTTGATATAATTTTCCCAATTTATTCAATTGATCGTAACTGATGGACCACCCTATACATTTTTGTTATATTTGATTTATATGTTCTTTGTCCATAGTGGTGATTGACATAATAAAAAGAAGTCTTATTCCAGGGCCGGCCTTGAAGAAATTAAGTAGGTTTTGAGTCGAAACTATACCCTGTGTATCAATATTTCGAAATTTCATTTAAAAATTTGGAAGAAGTAAGAAAAAACAGTAAGACTAAATGTTGAAAAGGAATATTCTCAGATAAATTATGAACATACAAAAATGGATATATATTTATATAAAGCAATACATTGAGAATTTACATTCTCTATGTGATGAGAATATTTACTCTTTTTCAGTTGATTCAATAGAAAACAACTACTTTCCTGGGTATATGCCACGACGAACATTGAATTATATCTATTGAACATACACATATAAATATATATCCATTTTTGTATGTTCATAATTTATCTGAGAATATTCCTTTTCAACACTTTCATACCCAATCAGGGGGTTCAAACTTGAACGATGGAAACTTGTGATTTTTATAGACCACTAATCGCAGATTCGTGATAGAGTCTCAATTCAGAATTTCTTTCCACGCCCTGTATGATGAATGTCAATTTATCATACACCCAAAAGCAAAGACTAAATGTATTTGGTGTTTCCGCATACAACTTTTTTACCTATTAACTTGAGTCAAGTCTAGAGGTTTCAATAATGAGGTGGCACAAAAAAAAAAGTATCCTCCAACTGGCTCTTCTCCATTTTCAATCCATGAAAACATCAACTGTTCCATATTTTCCTAATTTTTAGATCCCAACCTGATTGAAAAACTCGAGGACAAGTCCGTATTTGGGACAAATTATTATTATCAATGACTAACTTTAAATACCCTGTATGTGTAAGAACATTATCATAACATTTTATCTCACTACATTTGAAACAACAATTATGAAAATGAAGAACAATGTCCATTCCGAAAAAATTATAACTTCGTTTTAAACATAAAGAGAGTTGCCAAAAATCTACATTTCAAAGGTTAAATATAACAGAGAATCAAACAAACTAGAATTTTCTCCATATTTTTATTGTTTGTGGACCTCGTTTTCAATCAAGGGATCCAAAAATTAGGAGAATGAGAAATAGTGGATGATTTTATAGATTTTAAAGGGGAAAGTACTATCTGGGACCACTGAAGATTTTTTTTTCAATTTTGTGCCTCCTTACTATTGGAACCTATAGATTTGACTCAAGTTGATAGGTGAGAAAGTTGTATGCGGAAACACCAAATACATTCAGTCTCACTTATTTTTTCCTGCTCTTTCCAAATTTGTGAATGAGATTTTGAAATATTGATATACAGGGTGTTGTTTCGACTCGAAACCAACTTATTAATTTTTTCAAGGCCGGCCCTGGAATAAGACTTTTTTTTCATTATGTCAATCGTCACCACTGTGGACAAAGAACATACAAACTGAATATCAAAAAAATGGATATAATGTGGTTCATAAGTTATGATTAATTGAAAATATGGAGAAAATCAATAAATCACCCTGTATCATAGTTATTAAGTATGATAGACCCATGAAGTATGAATTATTTAGAAGCACCTCCGTGTTCTCCATCTACCCTTACTATATGCGCATTTCCCAATGAATCACCCTGTATAATTATAATTATTCATACATAATGATCCTCCAAGTAAAACTTGGATAATGCATGGCCCACTAGCAGAAATAGGTACACCATAATTCGGTGTTTTAGTGTTTCTGAGTATATCTGGAAATCCTATTTATCAAGTATTATGCATCATTTCAAAGGAAAAAATAACTCACAAATTCAATGAAATAATTCAATACAGGATGTTTCATTGAAACATATATAAAATCTCCAAAACCATACGCCCAAAAAATGAGTACACCACTGGATTCTGCTCAAAATTCTCTGTCATGGCGCAACATTATTTTCAATAACAGTTAAATGAAATATGATAAGGCCATGCATCTTGATTTTCACAAAAAAAATATGGTACATGAACGTGAAAACCGCAATGCCATATCTTATTCAACAACAAAACCGAGAAACCTGTCAGTTTCATCAAAAATGGGATACCCTGTACATGGAATTTTTCCTTCCCTTCATCTGAGGCTATATAGTGAAATGTTTGTCACGGTTTCAGATATTGGGTATTTGCTCATCAGTCTATCATTACTTTATAATAATTATCTTGCTTTTGTTATATGTGTCTTTAGTTATGTAAAAATAAACAAACTGTGTTTGTGATAGAATACTTTGTATATCATATAATACCTATTTTCCCGAAATGCTGCACAGGGTGCGTCTCTCAAAATTGGAACCACTTTTTTTTTTGTCTTGAAGATGATGAGGGAAAATCATATAAAACTTATGACATAACTTGAATTTTGCTTTCAAGTTGATGTCTATTTCTGAAGAATAAAATACCCTGTGTACCAAAAAATATTTTGAAATCATAATTCATTGGATCCAACCAAATAGTATTGACCATTTTTGTGTACATAGGTACAACATGGAATTGCTACTAGAGGCAGCAACTTGAATAGCGAGATTTTCGTTGTCGTGGTTTCATATTAGGAATTTGATCATTTTCATCATTTCTTTATATCTCTTTGACTTGTGTTATGTGTCTTATGATCATGTGGTAATAAAATTGTTATTGAATTCGATTATTGATTTTAATTATCCAAATCATACTATCAGATGAAAAAACTGTGTTCTCTTGGATGCTTTGTATACTATTGCAATCCCTACGAAATTCGTGAAATAATGTATGTAGATATATATGAACTATAGTATGTTATGTTTTTCGAACATCACCCTTCGGAAAATAATATTGAATCGCCCTGTATAAGAAGAATTAATTGTGAGACTCGCAATGCGAACTTTTATAGATCTCGCAATGCAATCTCTTACAGATCTCGCCCCAAGATCTGTCCGCGAATCTCTCTATCTGGTTATTAATGGGAACGCTCAAAGTCCTCACGAGAAGCAGTAGACAAGAATATCTCGATCTGGTTTTTTATGCGAGCTCTTATAGATCTCTTCATGAGCACTAGCTGAGAATATCTTAATCTGTTCATTTATGCGAGCTCTTATAGATCTCAACACAGGCAGTCAATGCGAATTTCTTATAGTACTCGCCACAGGGCTATATATGCGAATTTCCCAGAGTACTCGCAACTGGGATATCTTTGCGTATTTCTCAAACTACTCGCCTCTGGGCTATGTGTGCGAATTTCCGAAACTGCTCTGTACAGCGCGGTGAGTGCGAATATCTCGAAGTACTCGCCACAGGGCTATGAATGCGTATTTCTAACGTGCGATTTCTTCAAGATATCGCCAGGAATAGCCTGCGTGGCGGACATTTGGCAGAAAAATAGCGTACTTGGCGATCTCTCGGCGAGATCACAAAAGGCATCACAATGGCCTCGAAAGATTTCGCCAAGATATCTTTAGGATCTCTTTGTGTTTGCTGGGATATATACTATCTAACTTTCTCAGGGTTTGAAGTATTTGTAATCATTCTAATATATATCACCCTCTGTATATCTGAAATTTCGAAATAATAAGAATGAGTAATATATATGCCTGAATTCTATCTTTTGAGGGTATAATGGGGAGTCATTTTCTGATTCATGTTTCAATATACCTAAGATGCGCTGTATTATGATGATCGACTTTGATGTGATCCAGATATATCGACTTATTGCACATTACAGAAGATTAGACCAATTTATATTGGGTTTTTCCACTTCGATTCAGAATGAAACAAAACAAATGCCTGACGAATTCACAACAATAGAAAAATATATACATACAGAGTGTATATACCTACCTATATGTTATATAATCACTTCGTTGTATGAGAATTCGTAATACTACATTTCATTTGGTTTTGTAACGTCCTCCTAGTTCCTCTATATCAGGAGCTGCTACAGGGTGTTTAATTATGTAATATATTAAAAAATTTAAAACGCCCTGAAACAGCTCCCGTTTGTTATGTTTTAATGTTAATATGAATTGAAGTTTCATTTGATTGATGAATGCAGTCCATTGATCCAAAATATCGACATTATTGATACACATTAAAATCAAAATAATTGTGCTGCTTCATGTTTAACTTGAAATATCTCGAAAAATAATGATTTTATCGGTATGAAGAAAGAGTACAATATTTACGAAGAAGTTATTGAAGAATCGAAAAATTCTGATAGAATTGCAATTCCGCCAGTGGCGTAGAATTTGGGAAGGATCGACCAGTCACTTGCCCCTGTCGTTCGCCTCTGGTAATAGCTAGAAAAGTTTTTCACATAATTCAGTTGGATGTATAATACCTACACTTCCCTCCAAATATGAAAGTGATACGTCAAATAGTTTTGAAGAACTGGGCAAAAAACATTTCAAAATTTTTGAATAAATCACCCTGTAACTCAGACAGAAGACATATTTTATCGAGGTGATTTGGGTTGAATCTTCATATTTTGAGTTCGGGATTCTATGGTTGAAATATTTCCAATTAGTAATGAAACACCCTGTATATTTACGTATTCTATAGAGTCTAGACTAACCCTGTAGGTATATTTAACCTACTGACTCATATATTGCTTTTAGTATCATTCACGATTGATACATCATTCTGATATTAATCCTATGACATACAGATATATATATTTATTGATAGGTAGGTACATCAAAAACAAGACATTCCATTTAGCGAATAAGAAAATCGTGCAACCGGACACAAAATATATTCCATCTCAAAAATCAAACCACAATCTCTTAATTGGTTTATAACATTGTTCAATAAAACTAATGTTGTTTATATATAAGCTATAGATATTGCTTCCACCATTCTTCCTATATAGTAGCATCTAGTAGGTATAGCTATAACACACAACTGCTCATTTTTGTGATCAGCAAAGCGCGATCATCATCAGTCGAGGTCCAGCGAATATGAATCGCATCACATCAGTATTTCGTTTCCCGATAAAGGCGTCAATATGGAATTTCACATGTAAGTAATAACTTCATTTTAAATGTAATCTTGAAACTAAGCCATGTTTTTTATGAATGAAACCGAAACATATTCATTATTCGACTGATGGTTGTATATATAGTTTGTTGTTGATAATATGGTTTACCTTGAATCTATATAAACTCCATGCACTTTCGAATTTTATATATTCTATTTTCATTGATGGTCGAAGGTTTTATCATAGTACTAGCCTCTTCACTAAAGATGGTCCATGCGAATAAACATTTAGTATATTTGCGAATGAATGAACGATTACAGATACAGTGTGAATAAAATGTATATGACTTATGTCCTTCCCCAATCATAGGAACAAAAAATCCGGTAAAGAATCATACATTGGGGCTACAATATACAGGGTATGTCATCACGAGCTTACACTATCTTTATATCGAGAATCAGTCGGGAGAAATCCATGAAAATGAGCATGGTTTTATTTTAGAATACGCTCTCTTCATTTGAAATGGAAATCCCAAAACCATTTCGAGATATCGACTCAAAAATAAAAGATATGATTATTTGCAGAAGGATGAAAAAATTCTTGGGAATACGCCGGGAGATCCTATATAAACTTTTTCGATTATGTAACACTCTTTTTGAGGTACCTATATGTCATAACTGGAAACCTTTGATGAGTTTTGAACAATGTATCGTTAACAGTAAAAACATAGACATATTAACTTTTGAACACTGCATTTGGATTGAAAATCGGTTAATTTGCAAAATAGTTATCGCATTTCGAAAAATATCGAAAATTCGAGTGGTACACACTTGTTTCTTCGAGTATTTATATTGGTAGTTATATACATAGAGAAAAATAAATTATTGTGGATGAGTAAAATATGGGAAAGAAGGGCAAAATAGTTGAAATTCCAAAATAGTACATTGATTATATTAGCAGTTCGTGGAATAATATTACTGATATAGTAATTTTGGGATGAGTGTTGATTTATAATAAAAGGTACAAATCACTTAATATAAAAGTTGGGTCCTCTTCTGGTTGAGCAGGACTTCTTGAATGATGGAGGGAATAACTTTACCCATGTGTTTTCCTTGGATAACTTAAGAATAATAAATCAGAAAACTCTCATTTTGAAAATTGGACTCCGTTTGAAAGGCGTTATTATTACTTTTTTTCTGAAGTCTTATCTTGCTGTGATCAAAAATTCAGTTACCGGACGTTCATTAATAAAATCGTCGTCTTTATATACAGTGTGACCCACTTGAGACCGAAGAACCCTTATGGAATATATATCTTGTTTTCAACCGATTTATTTTGTTCATACTGTCTGTAGGTTAATCGAGGCGGTGGTACATTCATTATTCCAGATTTTTTGGGATTTTCTCTCTTCGTCTATATAAAATAAAAATATGAATACTATTTCAATATACGTGTAGTTAGGACAAATCAGATGATTTGCTCCTAAATGTCACTGCGTTTGAAGCATTTTCCTATCAGCGAGCCTGAAAGAAAAATTTACTAGCTTGTCAGTGACAGTTTGTATTGAAAAAGGTTTGGAAAAGAGAAATAAACGTATATAGAAAAAATATCAAATTTTTACTTATCTTTGGACGTTTCGGGAACGAATCTGCTCCCGTTTTCAAAATGAAAAATGGATTTTTTGTATTGCAAATTCGTATTTGTCCCGACACTTTTCAGTTCTCAGTGACAAATTAGTGACGTTGGCAATCAAATGAGTTACAGGATGTTTTCATGGATTAATATTGAATTTACCATTTTCATCTTCAGATTTCAGTATTGAATACCATGTACTATCTATATCAACTGAACAGGAAGCAGCGCTATTGTCTCCGTTCAGAAGAATGCAAGCAGATTCCTTGATTTTTCTCTTCTGGTAGTTTTCTTCTTTCCCAATGATTTTAAATTTATTTCACTCTGCCTTTAGCATGTGGGACTCATTGTGAGTAGCTTCGACCACATCTCATTTATCCACGACGAGGTGAAATAAAAATAACAATTTTAATTTCGACATTTTCGAAAAAATCACATTTGACATAAAGATTTCACTGACTTTGACCAGTTGAACTAGAATGTGTGAAAATATACAGGGAGTTCCTTTGAAAAACAAAGTTGCTGGCATTTCCAGAAAAACCGGAAGTCCGCCATATTTGATTGTACTGTGATCAAATCCAAAATGGTTGCTTATATAACTGAACCAAATTTCAGAAAAATCTGTTCACGAATGCAGACTTCACAGGGGTAGCCCGATAACCGTGTCACCCGGTATACAGGGTGTTTCATAATATATGCGCAGGACATCAGCATGTGATAGCTCGTCCAAAATATATGAAGAAAGTTTTTATTAACTTGAAAATGCACCAGTTTCGAGATACAGGGTGTTGAAATTAAAAAAAAAAATCGTTTTTTGCGAATATCTATGGAAATATTTATCTTACAGAAAACAGCTTTTGTAAGCATTTCTTACTCATAATGAGCTAGGTTTTGAATGGGTAGTGAGCGTTTTTCTCCCCAACTTCTACGCCACTGGAGAAAGTACAGTTTTCAGCCTCCCATTCGAACGGCCAATGTTTTCTATACAAGAAAGCTGATCTTGATCAGAAGCTCTAAAGTTGACAGTTTCTGAGAAAAATCAACTTTTATGTTGAAAGTCATGGTGAATAAAAAAAAATTACTAATTAAACAAAATCCATTCGAACTTAAGAACAAGTAACAAAACCAAACATTAACTTTATGTTGCAAGATTATGAGAAAACAATAACAAATCATACTATGAATAATTATTGTCGGAAATGTCCGCGATTAGCTTTTTGTGTAGATAAGATTGGCGACTCAAAACTGTACTTTTTCCAGTGGTGTAGAAGTTGGAGAGAAAAACACAAACTATATACCCCTACAAAATCTTCATCAATTATGACTTGAAAATGAATAAGTTCCGCACAAAATACCTTATTATGAGTAGAAAATGCCTACAAAAGCCGTTTTGGTGCGATAAATGGTTTCAGAGATATTCGCAAAAAACTATTTTAAGTTAATAAAAACTTATTTTATATTTTTGGACGAGCCATTACATCCTGATGTCCTGCGCAAATATTATGAAACACCCTGTATTTAAGCAGAAAAGTGAATCCTGTTGGTCATCCTTTCTCATTATTTAGATGAATATATTATAACTAATTCTTTCGGAATTCGTAAAAATTATATATGTAATGACTGATAATTAGGCACACCGTCTAATCGTTATTAACCAGAAGAAGAGTGTCATAGAATGTTTAATAAATGCGGTGAGAGCTTGACATAAACCAAGATTCAACTGTTATTTTGTGGTTTCTACGTTATGAATTTTACGATATCTTTTGAATTGTTTTTTCATCAACTCAAACGGATCTTGTAATTGAATGACATAATACTAAGCTGAGTGTTGTAAAGTTTAATCACAGTAATTTTCTTACGATTAATTGAGGGTATAATATGGAAAAAATTCTGGAATTCCATATTTATGCAGGTGAGCACATGTTATCGCTAGAATTATATATAATCTACATATAGTGTGTAGATTAGAATTTTCAACTGATTTATCAGGCAGGGGTCATCTATATTATTGTAGAATGTAGAACCTATAGTGTATAGCTTTGGTTCATATACTGGGGTAACTATATATATAGACGACAGCTTGTTGATTTTGAAATTGTGATAAAATGAGTACGATATTATAAGTTCATCAACTGTTGTTGAACATTTCTTCATTGTTCCAAGTGCTTTGACACACTTGTAATGTCCTTGAGTGAAAATTACTTCCTATCTCGCTTCCAATTCGGAGTTTACTGACCAGACATTTTCGAATTCAATAAGATCCCATTAAACACGAACATCCCTGAGATGTCACATTCATTTCGCGCTAGGTAACAATGTGAATTACAAGAAAACATCATTATTGGTATTGCTAGGGGACTCTTTATTTTAAAAAACATTCGCAATATTCCTCTCATTTCATTGGAATTGATACTCAAAATGTAGGTGAATTTGTGAGGCTCCCTATAACTACCAAGAGACTCAACCTTTATGTAACAAACCGAATCAATCAATTTTGATGTTGAATGAGGAGTCCCTCAATACGTAGGTACTGTGAGTTTTATTTCTCCAAAGATTACTGAATGAATGAATCATCTGTAGTCTATGATTTCGCATCATAATGTGAATTCTAGAATGACCAAAAGAGTAAGAAATAGCAGTCATTGTGATTTTAGTGGTACTCTCATTTCGAGTCACGGGTGTGATGTGTGGCATGAATGTGATGCCCTCTAAAATATCTCTGGAATCATTCTGTGTTATAGAGATAGGATATAGACAGAAAAATATGTATTTTTTACACAGAATCAAAATACCTACTGTGACATTGTTGATTTAAAATCATACATCAATCAAAGAAACTGTTTTTTTTTATAATTATTGCCCCTGGTAGAAAGAACTCATATGGGTATCGCCACCGCAGGGTACAAGAGCAGGGGCTGTGTGAATCTTACTTGCATTTTTTAATACCCATTCATAAAAAGTGTACTTCTCCCCACGGAATGATATAACTAGTGTCTGAAATCTGAAAATTTCAGTACTTAGGTATTTTTTAACTCACCTCATGTGTACACTAGGTATTTGTTTTCTTGAGAGAGATCTTGAATAGACTATATGAATATTCCTCGGATTAAGAAATTCTTCAAATTAGTTTACAGTAGCGAGATAGTAGTTTTTCATTGCCAGATACGTGAGGTTCTAAGTTTATTTTGAAATCAAGTTTCAAATATCGCATAGTGTCAAGTGAAAATTCTCATCAGGCAGCTGTGCCATACCTTTGCCATACCCAACTTCCAATTTGAAAGCATTCGACTATACACATTCATTGCCCTATAGAAGCAGAATTATTTCACCCCCCTCTGAAAATTTCGACGCTAATGATAGAACTGCTTATATCTGAGCTGCGTGTGTTCTTCACCTCATGAACTATTATACAGTGCGTGTTTCAATAATTTGTACCACCTCCCATTTCCGTATTTCTTGTGCGATTCGCTTTTCACCTCGAGGATATGCTTCCCCAGTCACATTCTTCCTCAACAAGAAAAAATGTCCATCAAACGGAATTTCTCGGCTCACTTCATACTGGGTGTTTATGAATTATTACATATAGTTATCTATTTTTTACAGGTACTTTTATGATTCTCTCTTTATTGACATCAACATATTCACAATCAATTGATATCGAAGAATCCTTGAATTCCTTTGGGATCAGCCTACTAGGGGTGAGTACAACGTGTTGTCTTGAAAATGTATAGGTGCATGATTGTGCCCATGTACCTAAATACTCAGGAACACTGTTCTCTGCTTATTTTATGTATGATATCGCTTTTCAAAAGTTTTTACCTCATTTTGTATTGAATTTCATTACTTTTAGGAGACCGTGCACCAAGCTGGAGATTTGCTGAACGTAGCTCTCTCACCATTCACAATATGGACCTTGATGACCGTTATATCAGAAGGTTCGAGAGAAAATACTGCTCGACAGTTGGAAAGTACCTTAGGATTACCTTCGAACAAGAATATGCTCAGAAATGCATTCCAACGTCTTTCTGATATGTTACAGGTAAAAATTAACATCGAACTTTTAGAAGTGTTATAGTTGAAATCGTAATCGTTCAGAAATAATATCGGCTCACAGTTGTTTTGAGCTCTACGACGAATAAATATTGATATTCTAGCTGAAATCAGATGGAGTTACTTTGGAAATTGATAATGCCATTTTCACGAATGATGATTTCCCTGTGAAGAGACCTTTTCAAGATATTTCGAAACAATACTATGGGGTTACAACAAGTCCCACTGATTTCAAGAATCCAGCACAAGCAGCCAGTGTTATCAATAAATATGTTGCACGTGCTACAAGAAATAGGATAAAAGCATTTGTGAACGCAGGTATATTTGTACAGTATGTTCATAATCCCAAGAATGTTTCTCATGTAGTTATTGGAATGTCTCTGGGAATGATTGTTTCTTGATGAAATATTACATAACCTTAATCTCAGTGAATTTTTTTGAACAATCTGTTCCAAAATCGGGCTATAGGCTAAAGGTATGGTATATGTTTCAAAATGTTCGATATTCAGAGAGGAATGTTCGAGTACTATATTCATAGGTAAACCACTTCGTTCACCTGAAAGATTATTGTTGTGTTTTTTGCATTCTCTCTTAATTCTAGCAGTTCTTACCTTGAATATAATTATTCTCAGATATATTATGAACATGAAAAAATATATACATATAAAGAAATGCATTGAGAATTCGAAATCTCTCTCTGACAAAGATATTAATTCCTTTTCGTTATATATTCAACAGAAAACAGATTCACACACAATAAGAATTTGAAATAAATTTGGAATAAACATCTTTTGAAGTTCAGATAAAGACCACATTCGGAATATTCAACTTATACTATACAACTATACTTTCCTGGCTACTTCTCTCGTCATACATTGAATTACATCCGTTGGACATTCATGATGAGGATATGGAAATAAAAATCTTCTAATCATGCACAGATTCGTGATTGGGGATTTTCTCAATTCAGAAATTTTTCACGCCCTGTATGATATTATGATGAACATCAATAATTCATCGTACAACTGACAATTTTTTATCTTGTTTGCTACAATCTAGGTTATATCTGCTCCTCAAAAAGTTTTTTTTCAAATTCTTTAATAATTTAGGAATCATCATTAATAGGTGCCCAATGAATATTTTTTTCTTTCTTCTAGGCGACGTTGCGTATGCCCAAGTCTTCATGACAAGTATATTGTACTTCAAAGGCTTGTGGAACATGCCATTCAATAGAAGTGCGACACGTAGGGAGTCATTTTACGATGAGAAAAATAACAAAATCGGAGACGTAGAGATGATGTACCAAATCGGAACCTTCGCTTATTCCAGAATGGAAAATTTGAATTCACATGCTGTAGAACTACCCTATGGAGGAGTGAGTAACATCTCTGCATGTGGATGTTTTTTTCACGAATTCAAATTTCTTTGTTAGGATAGGAAGATGTCCATGATTGTGATCTTGCCGTTCAAAGGCGTGAGTATAGCAGGAGTGCTCAACTCGATATCGAAGATGACAACGTTTTCTTCAATTTTGACAACATTAGAAAACTCTTTCCGACGATTCTCTGATGAGAAAGTACATTTGTACCTTCCACGATTCAGAGTTGATTCCGATTTCAATATGAATATAGTTTTGAACAAAGTAAGTATCAAGTGCAATCATTCATCAATGGCTTAACAATGGGCTTATATCACAAAAAAATTTTATTTCATAATTCGATAGAACTCACCCAAACTAGCTCACCACCGCAAACCGTTTCTTGCTGTGAGCTCCCTACGTTTTATAAAAAATTATTGAAATCCCCGATTTTTCGGACCTCTGAAAACGAGGCGATGATGTGACGTCAAAACCCTAATACTGAAACAAGACTATTTCAGACAGAGATGAATGATACATGATTTCTGACAGAATGATTAGCGCGAGATCACAGTTGAAGGTTGCCTCAGTCTCCGTCGGGTGTTTGGTATTCTCTTTTAACTATGACGAGATGAGGTTTCTACGTCATAAGAGGGTCCGTTTTCAGAAGGTACTATTATTTATGTCCAAAAATAAAACATTCCAGTTAATTTTTTGATCGAATTATGTCGTCAATCATTATTTATGTATAAAAGGATCATTATAAACATGGTTTGAGTTAAAAGTTCTACTAAGGTGTACACGCCCATTATCAAGATGAATAAATGGAATCAGCACGCACTCATTTTGAAAACCTTTCCGAAAAGAACACCTATCAGATTTTCTTAACCAGTTAATAATGAAATTTACACTCCTACTAGTTGAAAATAAAAGGCTCTCTGAAGTGAAGTAAGATTTATTCTCATGTGAAATGTCCCTCATCTGACATTCTTCAATTATTTCCAATGACAACATGAACTATTCACGACAAAGTGGAGATCTTAGGTCAAAACAACCATAATTCTATTAGGAAATATATACTATTAGTGCATCAGTAACCATCACGACACAGAAGACAATTTTTGCCTCGCTTCCTTATTTCCTTCGATGCTCCTCTTGGAAACTAATTTACTTTTAGCTCTTCAGTTCCTTGGTATATAACTACTATCCTAGTATTATACTCGATATATCCAATTATTCATTGCATAATTCTTGTTGTTCTTATCAATATCCTCAATGGTTGTCGTCATTGCGGCTACCGTGACTCACCCTGTATATAATTCACGTTCATTTCTAGAAACAAAATCGTTATTATAATGCAATTATAGTTCAAACAAGTACACAGAAACTAGATCATATCTAAAACATTGCGTTTCTGGAAAATTCCATTTCAGTTTTACAGTGTCGCAATATGATGATGAGATATGATGATAAGATGGGATATCTTGTATTTGATCAATCACACTAAATCTCCTATTCGGGACGAATCAAATTCGGAATCCAACAGAGGAATGAGAGGATCTATATTCTAGAGAGAGGATTAATGATAATATCCTCAACCTAGGAGTTCAATAAAGTTGAGATTCGAAACAAAACCAAGTGAGGCAATAATCAATAAATAAAATATTGGACGAAAAAGGACTTCACGACTGGAGCATATCATTTTGTTTTCTGATTGAGATCAAGTTCTTAACGATATTTTTGTTGATCTGATGATCAAAAATCCACATCTCGTATCTCATCATTATATACAGGGTGATTCATAAATACTTTGACAAACTTCAAGAGGTGATCCCTCACATTATTCTAATATGAATTGTCTGAATGCATATATACAGGGTGTCCCATAATTGGCGTGCAATACTTCACCAGCAGATTAAACGATCAGAAATAAGAAAAAAAGTTCCTATAAGCATAGGTACCCTGAAGATGATTTTCATTTTATATCTTCGAAACTGTCTATAGCAGAATTAGCTGCGATACTCGATGAGGTGAATTCTTGATATTTTATGCTCAAACAATAGCAGGACAGTTGATTCGCCAAATTTAATAGATATTCAACATCTTTGCTCTGCCGTATTTTTGATTCAATGTTTCCATTCAGCTACTTCCCACTGAACATCACCTTATTTCTAGATCGGAATCAAAGATGTCTTCGATTACGATAGAGCAAATCTTTTAAACATGTTTGACCAACAGCTTTACTTGTCACGACTGATTCAGAAAGCCCAGATAGAAGTTGATGAAGAAGGTACAATAGCAACAAGTGCAGCAGGTATGTTATATGTATATGCAAATTATTTTTTTCACATGTGAATTTTTGTGATTTGAAGCAATATAGGAATGCGCGATTCTAGCCACTTATTCGTGATTATACTGATTATTTCATTCACACCTGGCTGCATCTATGAAATATCATGATTGAAACAAACATAATATGAGGGGCTATTCTTTTCGACAGCATGAGAGTGCTATGATTGTCAGAGTTTGACACTAGTAAGTTTGACATTTTATATCAGTCACTTAAACATTGAAATGTCTCGTTTTGGGTCTACTTCCACTACAGAAATCAGCAGTAATTATGTAAGCGAATCAATATCAGATAATACCAAGAAGAGTAAAGTGTCTGCCTCGAACAATTTTTGTTTTTTTGCCAGCAGAAAAATTATGAGTTTGGTGCGACTCTACCCCAACTCTCGCCAAACGCCAAAATCCTGGAAGATTGGGTGGAGAGTTTGGTGAGGAATATGATGAGTACACAGTTAAATTGATATGGAAAAATATACAGGAAGTATACTTCCCTGAACATAAACGTAAGATAAATCCATTTGAAGATATCGAATTCAAAGGTTCCAGGAATGCGCAAAATGCGAAAAAGCAAAGCCCGAAATATTTTCCTCAAACAAGAAAGGAAAGTTCAGGAGCACTAGCTTTGGATGAATTGTATTTTTATACTGCTCATGAAATAATCTTCCTGAATATCACTCGACCATGACGAATAGGGACCATTATTCAGATTATTAATGTTCATATGGTCTCATTCGTCTTGTGGGTGATGTCTCGCTCACAATTTCACTCACTTCTCTGGAACACCATAGAAAAGTTGGCGATCTGGCTCTATTTTATAGATATTTTCATGGACGATGCTCTTCTGGAATATCAACAATTGTTCCTCCCTTGAGGCTTCGCACCCCTTCGTGGTCACTTTGGAGACCTGCAGAACATCTCTTTCCGAAGACTCATTCATCCAACGAACAGCGAGGCTCTGAAACACATTGCCAAGGGAGGTGTTCCCCGAGGCATATAACCTCCAGAAATTTAAGAAGAACAGCAATTCCTACCTTATTTCCCTTGGTTCTCACGATGTTCTCTGAACATTACAGGATATCCCTTTTCGTGGGAACCAGAACATAAAAAAAATCGAATTGTCAAAATACAACGTACTCTCGATAGAATTATGAGAAAAATAATAGTTGGCTATTTGTCACGGTCTGGGGTATATTACCTACGACTATTCCACTCTTGTTCTCGAGAACCAATCAGAATCGACCATTTTCACGGTTTCTGTGGTATTACAGCGATATTTTTTGTTTGAATTCACCCACACGTGACCAAGGAACGTGGTTTTTCAAGAATACAACTTTTGACGTTTATAACGTCAGTTATAAGTAATTAATATTTGATATTGACGCCAGGGATTTCTGTATTATCATTTATTGTTTGATTCAATCATGAAGTACTCATACGAATACAACTCGTGATACTATTTCTTCTGGAAATATCCGTCGATCGATATAGTCCAGCTTGCTGCTTTTATTTCGCTCATGACGTTCCAAAACTTCTCGCCTACGCTGTCTTGACAATCGCCGAAAATTTCCGTCAAAATAGTATCGCTTGTGGTCTATTACATAATTATGATAAAATTGCTTCTCCTTGATCAAACCTTGATGGTTTTATACATATTGACCTATCAGTATTTATTAGATGTACCTGCGTTTAACGTCTTTATTCTCTCGACCTATGTCTCGACCCTAGAAAACTGAATCTAACCTTTTTAGTTGTCATTCAAAATAATGACATAAACGTTTTGAAAAACTTAAAGATCGAATATAGGTACGACGTAAGCGAAACTCGCTTTGAATACAATAAGATTCCGTAAACTGTGTTTGTAGTTATCGCAAATGTATGCAACCATTACATCCACATCACTATTCGGTCGATCATAGAAGGAGGACCACAAATTTGATAGTGATGAATAGTTTTTCATTTCAATCTTCCAAATAGGCGAGATAAATATTTTTCCAAATACAACTCGTTCGTTCAAATTTTCTCGGATTATTTTTTATTTTCATCACTCAAACTCCTTCATTTGGGGCAAATTGAGTAAGATGAAACAATCGTCCTGACGGACTCGGTTTGTTTTCATATTTTTGCCAAATAAACGAGTTGTCGTAAACAACAAAAGAATTATTGATAAGATTTTTTTTTTTTCAGGTGCTTCTTTTGAAAATAAATCGCCACCACCAAGATTCAGGGCAAATAGACCTTTCCTCTATTTCATTGTGGACAAACCCACAAGGACAATGATTTATGCAGGAAAAATCAGTAATCCAAATACTATTAAAAATGCTTGAAATGGCGTGAAAGACAAATGTTCCTAGTTCTTTCTTTTTAGATTCATTGAAAAATGTTCTTCATTTATGGAAATATAATCATTTTCTATAGATCTGTTTTTCCCTTATTCCGAGAAATTATTTCATCACCAGAAACTGCTGAGAAGGATATCGAACACTGGAACCTTTTGGCACAATAATAAAGCACACCGTTTCACCATTAACCAAACCGATTTTTTATACTTCAGGAGAAGATTGAACCCTCTGTATAGTTTAGTGATATAAGATTATGACGAACATGTGAATTCAACCATGACAAACATTAACTTGGCGGTTGGGTTGACATATACCTATAGTATATAAGTGTCACAATAGAAAAGAATATTTAGTTTTAATCTTCTCCTGAAGATGCTAACAAAGATAGCGAAACACGTGTGGAAGCGTATGAAACATCGGTTTGGTTAGTGGTGAAACAGTTTAGTGTTCTGAAAAGTAATTAGTTTTTTTGCTAAAAAGATCAGTGATTTTTTCAAAAAAAATACTAGCAGTAAAATAACTCAGATATTTCAATATAGATCCATATTTTTTTTGAGAAAAAAGTGATTTTGGACCATGAAAAACGGAAGTGGGGAGTATTTGGGTTTACTGCAGTAATGTACTGTGTACCGAAAAAAAAAACATTTGCACTAGTTTGCAGTGGTTTACATATCATTAAATTTATTTCTGTTATTTCAAAATCGGACTGAAATTGGCGGAGATACAGCTAGCTGCTTTTTAATATAGACAGAGTCTTTATCTACATAGCTGTTTTTTTTTAATCTCTTGCCACATTTTAGAGAATCTTCATTATGTTCGTCGAACATCGTGCGAATCGAATCGAATCGAAGTCGATAGGAAGAAAATTAAGGTACAGGCTTTTCGAACTTTCGATAATCTTAAGTTTTTGGAAATACTTCCCTAGGCAAAGAATGCCAAAAAAAAGACACACACAGTATATGTTCAATATTATATGAAATGTTGATAGTTCAAATTGAATCAAGAAACAACAAAGTGTTACTCATGGATCTTCCCAGATAACGTTGGCCTTTATTTTCTTGAACTCAATTGTCTCAATTGACGAGGTCAGAGGGCATCATCTATAAATATGTTTTTTGCTATTTTAATAGAAATGCAGATGCTATCCGAATCGGGGAATATTGAGGATTATCTAATATAACTAATTAAAAGCAAGTTTAGTAAATAATGTATTAATGTGTAGTTAATGATAAATGAGATGATAAGAAAGTACAAAGGCATAAATTTCTCATTCCTGAGTACCAGTAAACTATCATTATCTAGTTAACCTTTAACTTTCTTGTCTGAAGAACATTTTTCAGAATGCGCTCCTCTAGCATGGCTGCGTTCCCAAAACGACTTTGTCGATGTATATAGAGCGATCGAAACCCAATCAAACGTATGTTCCTCCTTTTATTATCTCCATCATGTCAGTTAAATTCATCAGGCAATTTAGCTTAGTTAAGTTTATTAGTACTGTTCCAGCGGTGTGGTGTGGGTGAATATAAGATTTCACAGCGGAGTTATGTGTGATTTTTTCTTTACATTATCTGATTTTTAACATGGTGAGTACATACAATAACTGAGTTATTCGGAATATGAAAAAAAAATTATAGGAGCATAGGAGAAGACGAATAAACTATTTCTATAGTAGGTATTCATAGATGATTCCAATAATCAACATAAGAACAATAATTACTGATGTTTTTTTTATAATTATTGTGTGTTTCAAATTATAAATGAATGGTTGTTCTTATTTTCCTATTAGATGAGATAATGGGATTGAGAAACAAAATCAATCTACTCACTAATGTTCACAAAGTCTTCCATTTAATGCAATTTCTCTTTTGGAAATATCATTATTGCTATATATTTGAACACATTAAACACAAAACATGAGTGTGGTTTCGGAAAAAATACATTTCCCTAATTCTTTTATTTCAAAATGTTCAATAATTCCTATCGGCATTAGTTTACTTAATAGCTCATTAAACTTTATCATCTTATGGTTACTTGCAGATATAATTCATTATCGACACCTTATCGATTCATACTGCCCATTGTTTCTACTAGTGATAAAGAACAGTAAATAAGATAAATATATAAGAAAAGATATATTTTGAAGTGGCTTTCTCAAAAATATTGATTCTCTGTATAGATATTATAGTAAATAAACATAACATGAATATAGTATCTATATATGTATATACCTACTGATAACAATATGCATATTGTTTATGTCATCTTTGAAATTTGAAATAGGTTTGCATTTATTCTTATTATTGCTGCAATCTACTATGGATTCATTTAGATTTGTCTCATGGAAAAAAATAATAATATCAGATTCATAACTATATACTAGTGAGAAACAGGTGAACGTAAGAACATCAAAATAATATCTAACAAAATAGGTAACAGTTATAAATAGGTGACAAGTAGGTATTTAGTTTTGTTTATTGTTGAGATTTCTAGAATGGCAATCGGATTAAAGCCTTAAATCTTATCGCTCGTTTCGACATCACTTCGATATCACATTCCTACAAGAAAAACTATTAAAATTTTAGTCAGTCTGATTTACCCTGTACGAAACTCTATAGGAATTTGTAACTTACATTGATTTTACTTGAATATTTGGGAGTTTCTCATCGTTTCTATAAAATAAGAATTTCAATATATTATGTGTATAGTAGGACAAATCATATATTGAAATAATACAAATATTTTTATTTGATAGAAACGAGGAGAGAAAATCCCAGATAACCAAGTAAAATGAATATTATTGGATGTATGATAAATTGATATTCATCATACAGGACGTGGAAAAAAATTCTGAATTGAGAAAACCCAATCACGAATCTGCGATTGAGGTCTATAAAAATAACAAGTTTCAATGATTTGGTGAAAGTATTGAAAAGAAACATTCTCAGATATATTTATGAATACAAAAAAATGTTTATATATATAAAGAAAAACATTGAGAATTCGCTGAAAGAACAAGTGCACTTCAGGTTACTGATGAGGATGTGATATCCGAAATGAGTTTGGCCTAGTTCAGTCGTATAACCTTTTTGTGAGAGACAAATTTTTTTTTTCTGGGAATTCCAAGCTCATCAAGATCAGAGTTCATACAAGTATGCTTTTACTATACATTTCAATTTTCATTTCAATACTGAACATATTGGTCGTAAGTTATATTTTCATATCATAATACATCATATTATTCTGTTCGATTTGAGAGATGATTTCAGTTCTCAATTTCAGAGGATTTTGCTCTCTTTTTGGATATTCAACAGATATAATCCAATGTTCGACGTGGCAAATAGCCAGGAAACTAGTTGATTTCTGTTGAATATTCAGAATGATATTATATGCATATGTTTATATGAAGGAGAACGCAAATTCTCTGATGCTTCAGAAGATTTCGTTTTCAAATTCTCATCTTGTGTGTTCAATAGATGTAATTGAATATTCGTCGTAGCATATAGCCAGGAAAGTAGTTGTTTTCTGTTGATTTATTAATTTTTTTTGAGTTTAGAGTTATCTATCCACAGAACACACGAAATCTATAAGAAAACTCACACCACAGACATCATGATAACAATAAACCTTAAATTTTATTTGAACATAGCAATGCTCGGAAATCAATCTGAAATAAATCTAGCTAAAATTTTATAATTTCGGTTGGATATTTCTATTAGTACTTTCAGCTATGAACCCCGTTCATCATGGAGATAATTATCTTCAGAACATTAATATTATACCTAATTATTGGACACTATCATGGAGAAGGTAGTTCTGTATGCAAAACTGAACGAAAATGTACAATCACGAGGGCACATAAAATGAAAGCAGCGGACTGCTATGACAGGCAGTTCAAGAATTTCCCAAAATGTCTGGAAAATGATGTAGAAGTAAGTTGAATTCAATATTACATAATTCTTATCAATGCTGACAACGACAGTTTGTCCAGCTAAATAATGTCTCAACTTTTTATGTGACATTTTAACTCATGTATATATACGAAATCTCATAAGCCGCTGTGATTTTGTCATTATGACAACCAGAGTTGTGAACGAATCTTTTATGTCGTTCTTGTCAATCTTCCCCAATCTTGCGTTGAGGGGATATAGTATCTAATCTGTGGAAATGGCGCGATTTGAAGTGGGAAAATTGAAAAATCCATTTTTTGGGTCGAAATAAACTTAAAATTTATAATTCGAGTTTTGTTGCCTATAGGAAATTGAACTCAAAAAACTTTTTCTACTGTTTACTCCACCAAAACTATACTTTATTGTAATCATATTACGGAATCACGGGACATTTTTCGAAGCTTCAAAGCTTCATCATCAGCTTTTAGTTACAAAGGAGCACTAAAGTTAGAGAAAAAATGAAGAGAAATGTCAGACAAACACTTCAACAACGACAGTTCAAGAAGACTCACCTGATCTAGAGGAATAAATTATGTTCACATATTACAACAAAGTTCAAAAAAATGTCTGAACTGTCGTTGTTGAAGTGTTTGTCTGACATTTCTCTTTATCTTTAGTACTCCTATGGTCCTATGTAACTAAAAGCTGATGATGAAGCTTCGAAGCTTCGAAACATGTCCCATAATCCCGTAATTTGATTACAATGAAGTATAGTTTTTACAAAAAAAAGCTCTCGTGTAATTATAAGTGAAAAAATGATTATCACTGATAGAGTGATTAAAATTGGACCACTGTGTATGTGTATTGATTTGTGAAGATAGAAAAACCATTATCTCTGTAAGTTTTGGGTCAGACCGATATAACTCCAGGTTTTTCATTTCAGTCAATTCAAATAGAAATAATTGAATGTCCAGTAAATGGTCGCTTCCGCTATCCGGCCAAACCTATTGCATTCATTTAAAAATGAAGTTAGTTTGGTTGATGTGTTAATTGACGTGATTCATTCACTTTGTTGAAATAGGTAGTCACCACCTGCGAAAAAGTGAATTTACAATACTGTCACTTTTGAAATCTAGGGTAACAAGCATGCATGGATGAAAAGTTGCTAGATCTGGCATTTTTTGTTGGATCCTTTCGTATTTCGTGGATACTTGTTTCATATTCTCATGTTCACATCATTTCATGTTTCAGGTAATCGATCTATCTTTCAACAGAATCAGGAAAGTCAGCAGGTCAGACCTGAGCCAGTTCAAGTATTTAAAATTCCTGTACTTATCGGACAATATGATTAACAACCTAGACGATGATACTTTTCAAGATTCCGAAGACTTAACCACACTCGATTTATCCTTGAATGATTTATTTAAGTTACCTTCCACCATTTTCCAATTGCCGTCTCTGAAGACGCTCTACCTCAGCCAGAACCAGAATATGAATATTGTTGATATGATGCTCGTACTGAATAAACCGATACTGAGCCCGTTGGTACAAATCGATCTCAGCTACACAACATGCGGGGAAAATATTTCGGAATTCCCAAATTTCGGGCTGTTACCGTTTTTGATCCAGCTCAATATTTCTGGAAACCAGTACTCCACTATGACCCCTAGGGACTTGATGGGATTCTGTAATTTGCAGATATTGATCAACGATAATGTGACAACTGGTTTTGACGATGCTTGTGATTGTTGGAAGATCAACCATTGGCTGACTGAGAAAAAAGCGAGGTTTTCGATGTTCCCATGTACAGTAGAGAAAGCTGGTGAGTAGGTGCATATACCTTCATATATATTAATCAAGCTCAGATCATCAGAAAAATATCAGTCAATACCTGAGTTCAAGACTAGCTCAATCACTTACAAGGCACTGCTACTCTGGTTCTTCAGATTTTCAACGTTAGATAATTAATAATCAGAAACGAACAAGGAAGAAATGTTGACAACATAAATATGGACTTGGCAACAATTCTCGAATGGGGATCCATTAACTTGGTAGATTTCAATGCAAACAAAACACAAGCATGCCTTTTCTACAGAAAAGCCGATCTCACTGTGCCCAACATTGTCAGGAGTAACCATACCTTTGAAGACATTCATTTCGATGCTTGGTATTCCTATCAGCAATAACCTTACTTGGGAATATTACGTGAGATCAATTGCTAAAAGTGCATTCCAAAAACTTAGTTTTCTGTTTCGGGCTAGGAGCTATTTCACTTTCAGTCAGCTGCTTATGATCTATATTCTATCTATCTATATAATCTGTTCCCATATTTGGAGTGCAGCACCCAAGCATACCCTGAAACTGTTGGATTCTTTCCAAAAAAGGGCAATTCGTCTAGTGGGTGATGCCTCGCTCACAAACTCACTCAGTTCTCTGGAACACCGTAGAAAAGTTGGTGATCTGGCTCTATTTTATAGATATTTTCATGGACAATGCTCCTCTGGAATATCCCCGCGAGATTAACCCGTCGAGTTGAGGCTTCGCACCCCTTCGTGGTCACTTTGGAGACATCTCTTTCCAAAGACTCGTTTATCCAACGAACACCGAGGATCTGGAACACATTGCCAAGGGAGGTGTTCCCCGAGGCATAACCTTCAGAAATTTAAGAAGAACACAAATTCCTACCTCATTTTCCTTGGATCTCACGATGTTCGCTGAACATTACAGGATAGCCCTTTTCGTGGGGACCAGAACATAAAAAAAATTATTACTATGGGTGATTGGGTGGTGAAGTGAATAATATGATGTGATTGCAAAAGGGGATGAATGATGCTTTCTAATTCGTGTTACAGGTCTTGTTTCACTTTTTTTAGAGAGATCCCGGATACAAATACGTAGTGTCGATTCGAGAACTCACAATGTTTTTTTCTCTAACCTAAATGGAATTATTTCAATAGCAACTCATCGAAAAGCTCGTTGAAAATACTGACTAATGATATCGATTTCACCATATACAGATTAGACCACCTTGTACAAGGTATGGTATCATTTATACTGGTGAAGACTTGGTGCGCCTTTTAGAGCACAAAAAGGGATTCCTATTATATGTTCGTGAAACATGGTGCGTATTCAAGGGTGTTGCGATTTGAATAAGATATTCCATTAGCAATGACTGTATGAAAGATTCTTCCAGAAGTCATTCTACTTTCGACATTATTTTCGGAGTTGGTCGAAATCCTTTATGGAGACCACGCAGAACCCATGAAGGCAGTGTGGAAGTCTCTATCTGTAGATGTACCTACTAAACATTCTACCCTTTTCCAAGTCCCGTCTAACCGAAGTCTCCGATGACAATTAGACCATATACGACCAATGATTCTTATCAAAACATCACTACGAAAATCATCACAGTAACTGTAATAGTACTCCCGCTCACAGTGCCCTAGTCGTTCAGGTTCCTGAAGACTACTCTTCCGAGCTCTGATCTCGTCCACGAAGAAGGCCAAAAGTTTTTCTTCTCTCACGAGTAGTAGGGGATGTTAATCCAGTCCTGAGGTGCAACCTGCACAGGGCTGAGATTCCGTTATCGACATCATAATATAACCTTGGTGTCATTCATCCCTCGCCACAGGTTCCCAAAACTTGGATTAGGTTAGCCTCGTTCATCAATCCGCGACCATATAAGCAGTTAGTCACAAACTGACCCATCTTTGCACAAAGATGTTCACGAAACTGTCTCATGTGAGTGATTAAAATTAAGATGTCAATACGAAATTCTCCATCTGCTGAACAGCCGCTGCTTGTCCTCACCGCACCATGATGGGGTTGGGCTTTGGGGGTGCAAGAAAAAAGAATATTATGTTAAGAAAGGCCGATTGGAGAGATTGATGAATGAAGAGGATATCATCTACGTCGAGTTGAAGATTGATGAGTATTTGGCTAGGGTACCTCGGGTTCACCATTCTCATTCCCTCAATTTGTGAGGGGGAGTTTCCACTTAAGAAATGGTTTCGAGCAATAATTTTATTTGTCATTTTGTTCACGAGACATACCCATTTGTTTTTTTGAATTTATATGTATAAATTTCAGGAATGATTTCACAAGAATCTATAGACTCCAACCAGAGTAGCTTGAGGTAGGTATACAAACCTTCAATTTCAAATGATAATTCTGAAATCAACAAATAAAAAAAAATAGAGTAATAGAAAGAGAATTGATTATGTAACTCATACACTACACTGTTTTACCACTAACCAAACCGATTTATTAACGCCTCGACACGTGTTTCGCTAACTATGTTAGCATCTTCAGGAGAAGATTAAAACTGTTTTAAAGTTTTAATCTTCTCCTGAAGATGCTAACATAGTTAGCGAAACACGTGTCGAGGCGTTGATAAATCGGTTTGGTTAGTGGTAAAACAGTGTAGTGTATTATCGTGCCAAAGGTTCCAGTCTTCGATATATATGTAACTCATCTCATATCGAGATCTATATATATAGTTTGAAGATATGCATCTTCATTATCTAATGATGATTTGGGAATCAAAACGAATTCGAAATGATAATATTAAAAACATTATGTAATCTCAGCATGAGTGGATTGTTCAAAGTAGTAGTTCTTTCACAATAATTGACGATAAGCATATCTGTATCGGATTTTTCTATCTTCATTTTTAAATTTTCATCAGGTGAGGTTCGATTTTGATAACGATTATGTCGTTGTACATACATACATAAACAGGGTGTATCTGAATAACACCTGATCTGAAGACTGATTCTGTGATGAAAATTAAGGCAGGTGTTTGGTTTGGAATTTTTTGAAAAAACCTCTTCCCGGAAAAGTTACATCCTTCTGGAAATTGAAAAATTTTTTTTTTCATTATATTAAGCTAGAGAAACTTGGCAAATATCATTTGTCAACTACACATTTTGTGACGTTCTCAACCCTGAAGGCTTGGAAATGGTTGAAATATTCAACCCCTAAGATATTTTGTCCAAGAACTTTTGTTTTGCTTAAGCTTTCGGAAAAACTTTCAGAAATATAAATTTTTTTTAACAAATTGGGGTTTTCAGCCACGTTCATGAAAAAAGGGGATATTGAATATTCAAACCCATTCTAACCATATTTCAAGTTGGAAAAAATTTCAAAATGTGTAGTTTTGTTGACGAATAATGTGCACCGAGTTCAGTGTCTTTAGCATGATATACAGGGAAAATAAAAAAGAGAAGTATTTTTTTTGTTGATCTTCGGAGGAATGTAACTTTTTTGTGGAGAGGTTTATCAAAAAATTCCATACCAAATACCCACCTTCATCTTCATCACCTCTTGAATTTTCAGGTGTTATTTAGATACACCCTGTATATGAGCAAACTATTGATGATGAGCAATCCACTTTTCTATGGATGAATCAATTTTTCAGAGTGCCTCTATTCTGATTTTAAAGAAGAAGATTTAGCGATACATGACCAGTGTAGACAACTATATGAAGATATACAGAGGCAGTACAAAATTTGGAAAGTTTCCATAGGCGTCGGAATCACTGCAGTGGTTCTCATTGTATTGGTTATCCTCTGCTGTGTAGCCTACAAGAAAAAATGGTTATGTAAGAAGAAAACAAAGAAATCACTGAGAGCTGACGCACCCGACCATTTGGGACTTATTCTTAATAATCGAAAAAGTATTCCAAATGAATACCATTTGTGATATTTTCTATAGGTACACATGTATAAAAAATTTGAAGTTCCAAAACTGAACAGAAAAATGAAAATGAATGAACCTACTTGATGGCCAGTATGTTTTATACCTGTGCAATACATACTTATAGAATGAGTTAAGTTTGTGATACGATATTTATGTTTTTTTTATATATTTATTAGCAATAAGTTGTGTAATATTATTGAATAAAATCTTCAATAATGCGTAGTAAGTACGGAACAAATCATTATACTACAAACTTCTTCATGAAAAAACGATGTCACATTATGAGTTACTAGAGTCGATATATAGAGATTTTCCAGCTAATCTATAACTTTTTTCTCTGTATTGAAAAATACTCACGTATAGTTATGTAATTATTCGTTTCATATATTATTATGGATAAGCAGTTCAGTTTAGTGCAAGACATTTTATTTGTTTGGGAATCACCTTGACATTTCCAAATCACCCCTCATTGAGGTGTCCGTCTTGTATAACTGAGATAGAGGACGTTTTCTTGATTTTGACAATATATTGATCTGGTGATAATTTTTTAATGATCCATTAATACTTACTAGGAATATTCCACTATTAGCCATCAAACCTGACTAAATAAAAATTGAGATAAAAATCTAGGTCAAGCGAAAACAGAAAACTTTTTTCGTTTCAAAAACAAAACTGTATATGGCAAAATTTTATGGATCTGTTTCAATATTTGGAAAGAGCGGGAAAGAACGAATAAACTGACCTACTTCTCAGGAGCGCGTATCAAATTTGACAGATGTTTTATTATAATTTTATGAAAAATTCTGCTCCATTTTGAGGCATTTTTATTGCACTCGTGATTGAAGATCAAATTTGAATAGAAAAAAATAATAGGCTTAAAAATTGAACATCAAGAGAGTCAAATAAGGTGAATTATCGATAGATTTTTTTTCGTTTGACAGAATAACTTTCAGTAATTTTCGAGGGATCATGCTGCGGTAAAGTGGCCTGTGCAAAATATTCTAATATTCTGACAGTACATAATCACTAGTGTGATATTATTGGTGAAGTTCAAATAATTGTTGGTGCTTGTATTGTGTTGTTAAATTTCAAAGTGTTCATAATAATTATGCTCACATTACATTACAGCAACCTCAACCTGACCAATAATATCACACTAGTGATTATAAGCTGTCAAAATTCAGATTTTTATTGCACAGCCTACTTTACCGCAGCTTATGAATAAATAGTGAAGAATAAAATGGGTCCTCGAAAATTTTTAAAATCATTGAAAAGTTATATTCTGTGAAACGAACAATTCTATCTACTCTAATGATGTTGAATTTTGAAAAATAATACTTACCTTCTTGTATTAAAATTGGATTTTGAATTTCGAGTTCACTGAAAATGCCTCGGAATGGAGCAAAGTATTTCAGAAAATAATAAAGAAACATCTGTCAAATTGGATGCATCTACAAATTTTTGACATACAGAGTGTTGATTTTGAAATAAAAAAGTTATTTGTTTTTCTTCAACGCGGACCTGGATTCTGATCTGGATTTTTATTCAATTTTGACAGTTGATATAAGTGGACTATTCCTACCCAGTGTGAATAGATTATACAAAGTGGTTCAACAATAATGACCAGATAAATATTTTGCTAGAATCAGGAAAACGTCCTGTATATCAGTCATAAAAGACGGTAGGCACCTCAATGGGGGGCGATTTGGAACCATAAAAGTTTCCTCTATCTGCAGGTATCGTATGTACATTCAAATGTAAATCACCCTGTATAGTCCCAAAAAATACGCCAATTATACAGGGTGTCTCGAAATCAGGCTGCCAAACTTCACCAGCGGCTTTAACGATCAAAAATAGGAAGAAAAGTTTCAATAAACATGAGACAAGAAATGTCTCCTAAGGGAGCGTACCCTGAAAGGTGGTACAAAAGAACTGAACTTTCCATGCCCAATGCAGTGAAAATAACATCATTTCAAAACTTCACTGAGGAGTGTATAATACAGGGTGAGACCACATTAAATATTGCTCAAAATTTTTCGTATGCATATTTTTCGACAATTTAATCTCGGATTATGAAAATCCACACAGAAAAAAGGTACTCTTGTTCCGTAACGATAAGATGTATCATTATCGAGTAAAAGCGATTTGAAAATATTGTGACATCTCAGATATTATGCATAACATTGCAATGAGTCGTGGTGGAAAAGGCAAAAAATGCACTTGAAGTAGTTTTTTATCAATATTTCCCTATTTTTAGCGCTTTCATGAGATTGTTTGGTGAAAAGAAAGTAGATGATTTTTTATAGCCACTATGATATGAAATAGGGCAACGTTATGCATAAGATGTAGAGTGTATCAATATTTTTATATCGATTTCACTCGAAAATGATACAGCTGATCGATGCGGAACATGAGCGCACCTTTTCTTGTGAAACGATGCGGATTTTCATATTCCGAGATTAAATGGGCTCATATCACAAAACACATTTATTTCATAATTCGATAGAACTCACCCAAACTAGCTCACCACCGCAAACCGTTTCTTGCTGTGAGCTCCCTACGTTTTATAAAAAAATATTGAAATCCCCGATTTTTCGGACCTCGGAAAACGAGGCGATGATGTGACGTCAAAACCCTAATACGGAAACAAGACTATTCCAGACAGAGATGAATGATACATGACAGAGTGAATTAGCGCGAGATCACAGTTGAAAGAATTAATATATCAGTTGCCTTAGTCTCCGTCGGGCGTTTGGTATTGTCTTTTAACTATGGCGAGATGAGGTTTCTACGTCATAAGAGGGTCGGTTTTCAGAAATTAATATTATTTATGTCCAAAAATAAAACATTCCAGTAAATTTTTTGATCGAATTATGTCGTCAATCATTATTTATGTATGAAAGGATCATTATAAACATGGTTTGAGTTAACAGTTCTACTAAGGTGTACACGCCCATTGCACACAAAAAAGTTTGAGCAATATGAAATGTAGTCCCACCCTGTATTATAAACTACTGAATGAACCTTTGGAATGAATTGATGTTCACCGCATTAAGCATAGAAAGTTTAGTTCTTGTACCAGATTGCATCATTTCATCACGTGGCGTTTCGGAAATATCCAACAAATATCATCTTCAGGAGCACCCTTTCAGGGGGCCGTAGCTCCCTTAGCAGACATTTATCGACTCATGTTCATTGAAACTTTTCCTATTTTTGATCGTTAAAGCCGCTGGTGAAGAGTGGCATGCTAATTTCGGAACACCCTGTATAAATCATCAGAATTCTGTCAAAGTAGAAGCTCAAACTTGGTGAATTTGATATTCAATATTTTTCGAAAGCGAAAGGTAAAAATGGATTTGAGTTTGATAAGTGTACGATCCCTAACTCCTTATTTCGGTTGAACCGTGGAAAACTTGAGCAGAAGTGTCTTGCGGCAAACCTATGTCTAAATAAATAATTGGGCGGCGCTCCAATCTCCATGCAATTCATTCATTCAGCATTTGCCTATGAAGTAGTGGCTTCCAAGAGGCGCTGCCTCTCAATTTTCAAAACTTCAAGTTCCAGTTGAGAGGAGCTTCTAAATTCGAAATATGGACAGGTGTTTAGTGATTCTAGCGGTGTGCTGTGTGGTTAAATTTTCAAGTAAGTCTTGGTGTTTGTCCTTTAACTTTTCCATTGATTTGTAGATTGTGATTTTTGCCGCATAGCCATGAGGCACGAATTGAATACATTTAGATTTCAAGTACATACTTTTAATGAGGAAGGTGATTCTCCTTTCTAGTTGATAATTAGGCACGTCAATATTTTGAAGAGAAAATTACCAAAATATCAATGGCAATCGCAATTATAGATATCTAACGGACAATTTCTTGATACAATCAACTCGAAAATGATATCGTCATTGTTCCTAAATTTTCTGTTTTCCCAGAACTCCTAACTCATTCAATTAAATAATATACCAATTCAACAACAGTATGTCTGTCGAACAACTAAGAAGGTAAATTTGGAAAAAATGCTTCTCTATCGATTAGATTTTTTAGAATGGCTATGATTCTGACTGGTTCAAAGACATATGTCGCTTTCACATCATTGATTGAACATATGTATTTCTCTAATATTTTCGAAGTAGTGGGTTCAGCCATAAACATATCTCCCCATCAAATCTGATTCTCAAATTTCCATATAGATTAAAGTTATATAGGGTGTTTCAAGATTCGACGGAAAACGCTCATTCGAGCCTTCTTGTCTCAATGTGGTGCATACAGAGTGCTAAAGTTGAAATACTTATTAAAATACTATTCACTTCTGTGGTGTCCTTATGAGGTTCTGTGACCTCATAAGGACACCGTAGAAAAGTCGGCGACCTCTCACTTTTCTACGGACAATGTTCCTCAGAAATCACCACTATCATTCCATCACTAGCAATACCAGTTAGACAAACTCGACAAGCCCAGTCAGCACATCTGTTCTTTGTCAAACTTGAGATATATCGGAAAATATTTTTCCAACACTCGTTCGTATGTGGAGCGGCAAAGCTCTGGAATTCATTGCCCAAGAACTTATAACCTCCAAAAGTAAAGAAATAATCAATACCTACCTCCTCTCCCTATGCTCCTTAGGTACGCACGATGTTCTTCGTAGAAGAATTCCCTTGCGTGCGTTCCGAGAGATAAAAAAAATCATTGTACTATATGAACCCATTTTTGATCAAGAACCTAACTATTTATTATGGTAATTTGAGAACTTTGTAACACCTTGTATAAGCTCTAAGAAATTATCCCGACATAGCGACTGAAAATAAAGAAATAATTTGAAGTACAATGAATGCAAATTATGGCAGTTTGCAATTCAACCAATGCGAGCGTAACTATTTCTAATTCTTGATCAAAGGCGCAAATTCTAACCAATTACCGCTACATTATTGTTTCATTGTAGCCTCAGGCTTGAACTCTTGAGCACAGTAGGACTTTGAGAGAATATCCAGATAATATAATATATATATGACTGAGGAAAGCTTCATTATCCGAATAAAAATATTCTCGTTGTTAGGAGCAGACTGAATCTGAATTAAATCAAAATAAAATGAACAGTGCATATACTAAAAAAATGATATACACTACTATACTACTACTACTACTACAACTACTACCAATCACACTTCATTTATTAATTTATTTATTTATTTATGTATTTGTATCTGGATGGAATCTGAGAGCATCAGCGTATGTTTTGGTGCTGAACCCCATATGTGGGAACAGTATTCTAGAACAGGCCGTATCTGCGCTTTGTAGATCATGAGAAGCTGTTGAGGTGTAAAGTAGCTTTTCGCACGGAACAAGAATCCGAGTTTTTGTGAAGCAGCTTCTGCGATGGATCTGACATGATTATCCCATGAAACAGTGTTTCTGATGGAAATACCGAGCATAGATATGGTGGGCTTGGTGGGGATGGTGGTGTCAGACATAACAATATCGGGCATACTGAGTTCCGCCTTTCTAGAGAAAATACAGGCTTGAGTTTTGGTGGCGTTGAATTCAACTAGGTTGTTGGTTCTACAGGCTGTGATGTCAGCAAGGTCTTCATTGACAGCATTGACCTGCCTGCCCCGTGAGTTCTTAGTTTCCTGGGACGAAATGGGAATTCTGGAAGAGAACGCAGTATGGAGGGTACTACCATCTGCAAAGCTGTGAATGGGGCGGGTTGTTACTCCCAACAGATCATTGATATGAAGAAGAAATAATGTTGTGGTGCCAAAATTGATCCTTGTGGACCGCCGGAATTGATGCCAATGGTATCAGACGATACACCGCCCACCACCACGTGAAGCGATCTGCCTGAAATAAAACTCGATAAGAGACGGCATAGCTGAGGTGGTAAGCCGTATGTATGATGGTAGTTTGTGGAGGAGTCCTTCGTGCCAAACACTGTCTAATGCTTTCGATATGTCCAACGCGACAGCTAGAGATTCCCCGTGCTATCTTTGCCGTGTTTTTCTAATGAAGCTTGCCATAAATGGCTGACGTAGGCAAGTAGATCTCCAGTAGATCTTCGGTGGCGAAAGCCGTATTGTCTATCATTGATGATTCCTGAGCTCTCCAGATATTCGATCAGCTCAATATTGAAGGCTTTCTCCATCACTTAAGAGATTACTCATAACAGGGCAATGGGCCTGTACTTGTTTGGCAGGTTCTTGTTCCCTTTCTTGGGGATTGGTTGATGAATTTGTTTTTTGTATGTTCTATTCAACCCGACTTGTCCTATACAGTCTGTGGATGTCTGAATGGATCAATAAAATATTTATTCATTTATTTATTTATACAAGTCATCTACAAAATGACGAAAAAAACGATCTTGTATAAGTTGAAAAGATATATAGTTTCTTATAATCTGAACTGACTCTCATCAGGTTATCTTTCACTGTGAAACTTGCCATCAGCAAAAACGTCATACAGCTAGGTCTAGTTGAATCACATCGCACACATTACTTAAGTGCATGAAACACATTGTGGTGTCGAATGAAAATAAAATAGTTCTTGATTCGTTGAAAATACGATAGGCCATGGCTTTACCTGTTGGAAATTGCACCATGAATATTCCTTCATAGTTCTACATTACTATATTCAAATAAATGGAGATTTTGATCAACTTCATGATTTCCAGGTGCGATTGAAGAAGACTGTACTGACTTCCAGGGTCAAACCATAGAACATGGGCTTTTGTATGTACCAGGTCCAGCCGTATGTACTATGTGCGTATGTTACCACAGCGAACCCATGTGGTGTCAAGCAATATATTGCGATCCTCCTTATGTGAGTATAGGAAATCAAACCCAATATATCGGGTAGTCACAAAAAACCGGAAGTTTTTACTTTCCTCGTGGTTTCATCATTTCTCAACCGAATTCGAATTTCTTGGCGTCGTTTCATAGCTAAAGGGCTATAGTATACAGTGGAATATTTGAAAATTTCATAATGAACAAAAACAAAATGGCGGATTCTACCAAAGTATTGTCATTTACAAAAACCACTGGAGAAAAAGAAAATCAGATTTTTCCCAACCTGTACCGATGTCATCTTAGGCTATTCATTTCTGAAGAGAATGAGTACTCGAACATCGAAATCGAACAAATAGTCCAGTAGATACACTCATTTCTTTGCAATTTTTTATGGAGTGAATGTGCTAATCTCGTATAAACGATTATTATTATTTTGCTTCAGGCTTCATGAAAATTCAATCAAATTTGGCTTTCTTAGAGTTATTCCAAAGATAAAGAGTTGTAGTTCACAATGGATCATTTGAAAATCCAATAATTGAAAGAAACAAAATGGTGGAGGATCCAGAAATTTCGTGACTTTCAAAAATCTCAGGCGAATAAAAAAAAATTTATTCTTATAATCAGGACCGATACAATTTTAGATCATTGTGTACTACAGTTCTTTATCTTTGAAATAACTCTAAGAAATCCAAATTCGATTGAATTTTCATGAAGCCTGAAGCAAAATAATAATAATCGTTTATACGAGATTAGCACATTCACTCCATAACAAATTGCAAAGGAATGAGTTTATCTACTGGACTATTTGTTCGATTTCGATGTTCGAGTACTCATCCTCTTCAGAAATGAATAGCCTAAGATGACATCGGTACAGGTTGGAAATAAACCGATTTTCTTTCTCTCCAGCGGTTTTTGTAAATGACAATACTTTGGTAGAATCCGCCATTTTGTTTTCGTCCATTATAAAATTTTCAAATATTCCACTGTATACTATAGCCCTTTAGCTATAAAACGACGCCAAGAAATTCGAATTCGGTTGAGAAATGATGAAACCACGAGGAAAATAAAAACTTCCGTTTTTTTTTGTGACCACCCGATATATAACTAAATTGGGCATTCAGCAACCACTCTCGATTTCTTTAAACTTCAAAATTGGCAAAATAATTTTCTAATCTATGTTTTATTAGTTCTGCAATAAATTCAGAGTAGGAGAAAGATGCTGTGAATTTGAATGCTTGGACCCACCAGGAGATGCAGCTTCAAAATTGCTAGAAGAATACAGAAAAAAACGACTCCAGCCCAGCAGTGCTAAACGGAGATATGCAAATGTACCCGCTTGCTTTGTGACCATTGTAGTAATGTTCAATATGTGATGTGAATAGAATAGACAGACTAATGCTAATTGTGATACCTGTACCTTTGAATTAATAGTAAACTTTCGAATTTGTAACTCAACCTCTCACCCATGTTCCTGGAAAGAAATATGAGAGCAGCATAAGTATGATAAATCAAGCAGTAATTAATGCCGGCAGAAGCTGATATCTCCATCTAAGTCGATTTTGACATAATATAATAGTCATTTATACACCAAGGTAGTAAAGAAAATCATTATCACCCAGGGACCAAGAATATACACTCAGTTCCAAAAAAAGTGACGCACTTGATAATTGACCTATCTTTAAAAAAAAAAAACAAAAAATGTAGGATGATTTTTTTTATTCATTGGTTGGTAATGCATTTTTCTTTAAAAAAAAAATAATGAGGTGAAAATTTTTTCAAAGCCTCCTTGATGGTGGTAGAATAACTCGAACCATGATTTATTCTTAATTTTTGACTCACCCTGTGTGTTAATTGGGTAATGGCATATAAAGTGCTCACACCCTATACGAAAGAGGCTTCTTTTGCGAGCATTTTTTTTTCATTCATTGATTTATCTCTAAAATTTTCTGAATTTTTTGCTGAATCTTTGCAGATTTTCTTTCTGAATCATAGATGATAATAATAATAATAATGTTTATTCACGTTATTCTTCATTATGTTTCAACATTTTGTGTTGGCATATATGCATAAACAAACATTGAGAGACCCACAAAAGCCTAAACTGAAATCAAAGATCCAATGAATTGTTTCACAGTCCCTTGGAGAGCATTGAAACCAACTTAAGAGAAAGGTCCATCGATGTATGACAAAATGTCAGTTTTAATTTTGCCCAAAATCTGTTGATTTTTATTCGTTGCCTTTCATCTTGTTTGTGTGATGTGACTTGTTGGTTCCATAGTTTTTTAGGTGTCAGCATCAATTTAAAATATCCAGTCTGAATAATACGTGGTCGTGGCCAGTTACGTTAAATGACCATTCCTCTATGGCTCTCACTTTTATGTTAGTTTCAATACCCCTCACTCCAAGTGCGATATCGAATTTTCGGAATAAATGCAGTGGCATATATATTTATGGTCGAATAGGATTGAATATTTCGTCGATATCAAAATACTGTGAGTTCTTTTCATATAATTCATGTTGTCCTGCAAATAATTGAAATTTGACTCATTTCTTTTGGCTCTGAGGAAGAGGTTGAATGAAAATGCGATGTATAGGAAACTAATAGTTTATTCGTTGGTAACATGAGTAGGGTAACATGAAAATGCATTTGAAAATATATAATGCTGAGGAATTCAAAACAGGCGATAACTATGCTGATATAATATATGTACTGTATATATTATGGGGGAACAATATAGGTATTTATTAAACGATATATGCTTATAAAACTTGTGAAATTGCAGAAAACTCTAATAGTTTAACAATTTGGACCTCTGAATATATATTTACTTATATATAATGCCTAAGGTGCACCATACACTATCACGCCAGTATATTAACTGATTTTAATCATTATATACCTAAAGCTTTTTGTATTTCATACAATAATTATCATTTCTCTTATCCAGGAAATATCACATTCAATTTGAAAATCAGAGTATATTGGACGAATTTTGACTAACATTATTAATCAAATACCACTCGTGAGAGAAATTAATTATAAGACTACTCAGATGCTATCATATAGCAATAAGAATAATAAACATGAAACATGCAACAGTAGTATTAATATCGATGGAATGAATATTCTGTGATGGACCTGATGACGAATACATGAACATAGTGATAATTAATACTGGAACATAATCAGGGTCTACATCAGAACATTCAACATAGGAAAAGTGATCGATGTGGAAACGACAATCGAATCGAAACGTTGGAACAACATAACTAGCTGAAGAATATTGTCAAAATTACTAACCAAAAGCGTTCAATGATCTTGTTGAAAACCATTTTACGACTTGAAATGATCAATGCTCTGGGAACATAATTAGGCGATGGGGTATACATTCAATATAACGATTATTTTCAACATACAATACATTTTCTTTCATCAAATATATTATGCACTAGTACGTTTCTCTGGATAAGAAAGAAACACTTCAACAATTCAAATTTCGATTTTTGATATTTCATTTCGTGGAAGTACTCTGCTTTATATGAAGGGGTGGTATCTTAAAATCACTTTCTTCATTTCTTAAAACTAGTGGATAATTGGTGGGTGTGGACAAAACTATACTGAGGATAAAACATGGTACCTACATATTTTTGTGGAATCATACCTACTACATACCTTTGAACAAAGAAAATTATGGTTTCATATAAACATTGATGCAAATTGGGAAAAATACAAAAATCAGTTCGTCTTCATAAGATTTCCTAAATCATTTAGGCGGTGTTTTATATTTGTATCCACTAGTTTTTGAAATTTATCAGTCATAATGAGAAAATATGACTTCAAATTCACTCCTCCAGCTTCCAAAGCTTATTTAACTCTATTCATATTTACAAATAAAATCATGTGAAATGTTCAGCTCAGATTCACCTAGATACTGTTGAATATTTGAAACAATGTTAGTACCTGTCAATAGGCAATTTGAAAGAAGATTACATCTTCTTCGTTCACATCAATATTATCATTATTACCGTTGAGTCTTATAAATTGTATTCTAGCAGTATTCAGGTAATGATGAATTTTATATCTATGTTATCGATAAACCTAAACATTTTTCTCAATACTGTGTATAAACATGGGTGTGCTATTCGTTGACTTCAATTGCGATATTAGGAAATACTATAATCTTAAATATTCGACTGAAAAAAATAACGATGTTGAAAAAATTATGGAACTATTAGATATGACAATGACGAATAATGCCTTTTTGGTGAGTGATTAATATCAAGCAATTGGCACTTTAAATTGTATAAAAATACTGAAGAATATCTTGAACTCTTTTCCACGTCACTGTTTCTGGAATGCTTACTACATGACATTGTGAAGATGAGAAAAAAATATAATGATTATAGTATTTCATGAATGAATTATCAACTCAATTTTGTTTCTAGAGTCTAGTAATGTGATTTTTTCAACTGTTCCATTAATACTGTATAATGTTAAGGCTCTATAATTCATTTATCTATGTATATAACATTTTCATTGGGTATCGTGGATGAGAATATGATAAATTCATGTATATATACTGTGAAACATCAGTCAGTGTGGTAATTCCATCTTAATCCACTCATCAAAACTGTTAGTGGTCTCATTTATTCACTAAATGGAATAAGGAGTGCGCATCCAAGAGTGACATCTCAATTTACCGCTATTCAAAAATTACTCAGATTATCTTGGGTTGTTATTCCTGAATATTTGTTTTTCTTTTGATGGAAATAAGTCACTTTAACTCTGTTGCATCTGTATTTGGCAAGAGATCAAAGATATAATGGGATGTGCATATCATTTTAGGAACATGAATTGATAGAATGATATCAGAACATGAAATGTTGATTTCCAACCAGTTTCTTACTTCTAAACTTCGAAAATCTAGTCCTTTATCAGAAACTAGATGTCAGTAATGACAGATGACATGTATCGCCCTAGAATCTTATTTTTTTTATAAATGAATCCACTCAAGACTGTTATGTCTTAAATGTTGGAATGTTAAATCTTGAATGCTGAAAATTTTTCAGAAGTCACCCTCAGGTATGAGATAACATAAATTAATGCAATATTTCATATGAGGCAATGTAGATATTGCCTTATTATATTAGTAGTTTACATACGACAGTTAAGAGTATCGGCACAATATGGCGATTATCGGCAGTTGGGCAATGACACTTCACTTTCTGAGTTTTTCCACCCTTTTTCACGCCTTTCACGCATCTATCACATTTTTTGGGCCCCAATGAATCCCATTTTCCATGAATATACCATCAACCAACTGTCAACGACAAGAACTACATCATTGTACTAGGTGTACTACTAATTTCTACGTTCCGTGAGGTGAAATCAATACAGATTCAGGGTTTTATTTATATTCAATAGTCCCTCAATTATTAGGCACTATCTCTCTGTGAGTATCAATGAACTTAATGTATACACCCCGAAAATTCAGGGGTCTGTAAAAAAAAACAGCAACTTTTATTTAGTTGTACTTCCACTCGCATTGATTCAACTGTTTTTTTTATTCCTCAAAATCGTCAAATTGATATTCTGCGTACCTACATATGATGAAGTACTGCATCGGACAAGCAGAACTAACCATGAATAATTCATTTTCACAGAAAATGATCATTTGGTCCGATAGAATATCGTTTCTATTAGAGAATGTAAAGTCGTATGTGTCACCTTTGACCTTTGGAGAATCTAACTCTTTGACACTTGTTAATCTATGATGACAGTATAAAGATTGGCAGATATGGAATACGAATTTGAGAGTCCACATTGGTGGAAGGCGGCAAAAGAAGAAAATAATTTTAACGGTCACTAAGATGTTACAAAATATTTTATAGAAAACCTGCAGGTATACACAGAAACGAATGAATCAATGTTTTTGAATATGTTTTGAACCAGTTTAACTACTTCAAATTATTCCAAATAACGCACCCGTGTTATGCGATAGTAATCTACGCCACTGCTCGTTGCATTCGCCACCTCCTCCCTGCACAGTGCATGAGATTAGAATGCATTCAGAAAACTATAGACACAACAGCAATTGTGAAGAATACATGAGATCCAGAATGGAGAATTGGACTTGAATAAGGTTCAATTGTTAGTTTCCTTTTGCAACAAACAATGAAGCTATAATATATAGATTCAACGGAGGAAAAGAGCACGTGGTTGAGGCGCTCGACATGGAAAGTTTGCTAAATCGAATCTCCGGCAGAGAATTATCATTTATAAAGCGAGTCATACAGTCTATTTTTCGTAGCCTTGGCCCGAGATAATTCCGCACGATTCGCTATTGCGTTCCAATCAACAGTGCTACTCTTAAGGTGGTGTATGGAGTGAGTAACAATGCCTACAGAAGGACCTCACGTAAGGTAGATGGCCAGTTGGTATGTACATACATACCAACGAAGTATACAGTCATATACTACTATATAGATCATTATCTTGCTACCTCGCGAAGTAATTTATGTATTTACCAATTTGCTATGAAATATATATTTTTTGAAAAAGAAGGATATGGTTCCTTAGCTCATTTTGAAAAGAAAAATGTATATGAACATATGCCCTAAACCTCTTAACTTTCGACTTGTAAGATGTTAAAATTTTAAGAAAAAATTTGTTTACTTATTATAACTTCAACACCGTTCTAGATATTTTCATGAAATTAGACATCAACCTACTAAGAGCACCAATAGGCATTTTTCGATACAAGATTTTTCAATATCTCTACCAGTGGCGTACGTAAGGGAGGTATATGCTCGAGATTTTTTGAAAAAAGGAAATACAAACTCGATGATATCATCAGAGCAGAGATGATTCATTCCAAGATATTTTGGCTCATTTGGAATCCATGAAAGAGTGTATGCAGGCTTAAACTTTCAGTAGATTCATCATCAGGAAGTATATCCATCAGGGTTTGAAAATCACAAATGACAATAAGTAAAAATTAGAACATAAGAATTATAATATCTTTATATTGATGATGACTTTTCCTTCAGGAAGAATGGAATGTAGGTAGGTGAATCAAATCATAGATACTACTGGATATGAGATATAGAACCATTGTTTGTTTCAGAAGGTTATGGAAAACACAAACTTGATGATATTATCAGAGCAGAGGTTTTTCTATCCAAGATATATTGGCTACCTACTTCGGAATCTTTAACTTTCAGTTCCAGGAAGTGTATCTATGGTTCAGAAATGAAAAAAAACATGGAGAAATATAACTACCCAAACGCAATAACTTCTAGTATTGACCAACAAGAGCTGAAATACATTTCTTCAAAAAGAAACTCAAAATTCCTAAAACAGGTTATAATAAATAATAGAATGTGAGTTTTTCATTTAAAAAATAATGTCAATAGAGCGAAATTTCGCAAATATCATAAGATCCATATTTTTTCATGAAATCATCATTTGTGTCAATCTATATCTCCCATTTATCTTGAATATCCCTAAAATGTCATCAAGAGATGTCTGGGAGACATTTCAGAATACTGCCTGAAGTTCGACATCCTGAGGACATTATTGTTAACGCCTCAGAAGGACCTCAAAAGGTATTTGTGCTATCTGGGTTAATTTGGATAACTGTATATCATGATAATATGATAGGAAATATCGAGGAGTTCAGTCAATCGAGCTACAAGCAAACTACTTTATTGCTATGCCAAGCTTTCAAAAATTTTTATTTTCTCCTTCAAGGCTGAAACAATATATTGTATATGAAACATTTTGTTACAAGTCAATTCAACAAAAACAAGAACTTACTTGCAATGCGAGTTAGAAGGAATAATAATGACATAAACATTGATAGGACAGTGACAAAAGTCATATAATTTATATACGGGAAGAAATGAAATTATAAAATCAGATTGTTGTTGAATGTCTTATGAGTCATGAGTCTTATGAGTCATTTTGAATATCATCATGAACAGAAGATAATAAATAAGAATATATCTGACTGAGATTATCAATATCAGTTTTCTAATTCATATATCGGGTGGTCACAAAAAAACCGGAAGTTTTTATTTTCCTCGTGGTTTCATCATTTCTCAACCGAATTTGAATTTCTTGGCGTCGTTTTATAGCTAAAAGGCTATAGTATACAGTGTGGCATTTGAAAATTTCATAATGAACAAAAACAAAATGGCGGATTCTACCAAAGTATTGTCATTTACAAAAACCGCTGGAGAAAAAGAAAATCGGTTTATTTCCAACCTGTACCGATGTCATCTTAGGCTATTCATTTCTGAAGAGAATGAGTACTCGAACATCGAAATCGAACAAATAGTCCAGTAGATACACTCATTTCATTGCAATTTGTTATGGAGTGAATGTGCTAATCTCGTATAAACGATTATTATTATTTTGCTTCAGGCTTCAAGAAAATTGAATCGAATTTGGATTTCTTAGAGTTATTTCAAAGATAAGGAACTGTAGTACACAATGATCTAAAATTGTATCGGTCCTGATTGGAAGAATACATTTTTTTTTATTCGCCTGAGATTTTTGAAAGTCACGAAAATTCTGGATCCTCCACCATTTTGTTTCTTTCTATTATTGGATTTTCAAATGATCCATTGTGAACTACAACTCTTTATCTTTGAAATAACTCTAAGAAATCGAAATTTGATTGAATTTTCATGAAGCCTGAAGCAAAATAATAATAATCGTTTATACGAGATTAGCACATTCACTCCATAACAAATTGCAAAGAAATGAGTGTATATCTACTGGACTATTTGTTCGATTTCGATGTTCGAGTACTCATTCTCTTCATAAATGAATAGCCTAAGATGACATCGGTACTGGTTGGGAAAAATCAGATTTTCTTTTTCTCCAGCGGTTTTTGTAAATGACGAAACTTTGGTAGAATCCGCCATTTTGTTTTTGTTCATTATGACACGACGCCAAGAAATTCGAATTCGGTTGAGAAATGATGAAACCACGAGGAAAATAAAAACTTCCGGTTTTTTTGTGACCACCCGATAGTGTATTTCTCATTTTTAATTTCAACCATCTCTGAACTCCCCGATATTTCCTATTATATCATAATATAATACAATCGATAAATTATTCAATAACTGTGTATATCGTTCAGATTTTCATCCAAGATACCCAATGGAACACACAGTCCATTTTGATCTGATCCAAATACTGCGTTTATTGTGTTCATTTAACTAAATCAACTCTGTCCTGCCGGAGGTGGAATACAAGACTTGCCTAATGGCGGCAGCGTTGCAGGGCCGGGCCAAGGGCAGCCTGAAGGGACGCTGCGAGCTTGTTGGAGGCCAGCGGCCGACTCGGGATGTAGGAAGTTTCTGCGCTGCTCGATTTTTTCTTGCTACAAAAAAACAAGGGGATTTTGACGTGGAAAAATTGATTTGAATTGAGTTGACGTGTTTTTTGGCCAGAGGTCACCAGATTTACACGATATACAGCGTGTCTCATTTCACACGGCCCCCCCTCTATATCTCATTTATCAGTCGTGCGATCTTTACCATCGGTATGAATAATCATCAATATGACCTGTTCTTCAGAGACAAACATATCATTTTAGACAGTGCCGTGCATTTTTGAATAGGGATCAGTTTTTTATTGAATCATACTAGGCAATTTTTCACAGGAAAACTGACCTCATAATATTGTTCTTCATCATGGTTTCAAACTCACATACGTGGATTTTCATAAGATGATTATGAAGGGTTTCAGAAAAACAGGCACATCTAAACAGCATTTTTGTGAACGTATTAATTATTTACTTGAAAACGGCGAGTTCAACATAAAAAAGTATAACTCGTTTTTCTTTCCAAATCATGATTTTCCACCTACCGGAGCCATTATTGAACGTTCCAAAATTCGTAGTTGATATGAAGTCACTATTTATTCGAGAGTGAAAATGAAAAAAATTAAACCAATCCTGTTGATTCGGAATTATGTGATTTTTTGCATATGGAGGTTCGAAACCATGAGGAACAATGATATGAGGTTAGATTTCCTGTAAAAAAATGCCTAATATGATTTTAGTTCGATAGGAACGCACGGCACTGTCCAAAATAATGTGAATCTCTATGAAACTGATCATATTGATGGTTATTTATACCACACCAAATTTGGTTGTAATCGCACGACTAATATCTGAGATATAGAGGGGGGGGCCGTTTAAAGTGAGACAAGATCTTTATGTGGGAATATTGTGAAGAATCTCAGATGATTATGCCCAAACCATACTAACGAAAGTTTACTTGAGCGAATTTCAGCAAATATCCCATGGCAATATACCGTCGTATACATATGGAGTGTTATGTTTTAGCAATAAAAACTAGTGGATTTTCAGTAGTGTGACCCAAGGACATCGATAATTGTAATAATTTTATAACTGAAGGTGCCGTTTATGGATGATACAGAATATTCTGTCAAAAAAAACACAACCCTTATTGCTCATAGAGCAACCCTAAATGAGCTTAATATATATCAGAGGATCGGTTATATCTTCGTTGACGTTTGACATAACCCCATCATACCCTGTAATATTGGATTCATTTGTGGAATTTCTTACTGATTGAGGAACGGAATATATTGAAAAGGAATATTCTCAGATGAATTATGAACATAAAAAAAATTATATATATATATATATTTATAAAGAAATCGCTTCTATACATTTCAATTTTCATTTCGATACTGGACATATTGGTTAGTTATATTTTCATGTATCAATCATAATACATCATATTATTTATCCGATTTGAGAGAGAATGTCTCTCTTTTTTGGATATTCAACAGATATAATTCAATGTTCGACGTGGCAAATAGCCAGGAAAGTAGTTGAAAGTCAGAATTATATTATATGCATATCTTTATATGAAGGAGAATGCAAATTCTCAACTTCAGAAGATTTTGTTTCCAAATTCTTATCGTGTGGGTTCAATAGATATAACCCAATGTTCGACGTGGCAAATATCCAGGAAATAAGTTGTTATCTGAATATCCAGAATGATATGTGCATCCCGAATCTTGTGAATGCATATATTATCTGAATTTGAAAAAATATATATAAGTGGTATATTTTCAATTTCAGCTTTCCATGGAGATATCAAAAATTGAATAATCTATAGGGTGTTCCATTTGGTAAAATTGTAGCACACGTTATTACGTGAACGTGGATCACTCTGTATTTTTGATTGTGATAAATTGAGATTGAGAATATATTTATTTCAGGAGATTCCTCAGAAATGGATAGTTTGGCTAAAAATGAATGTATCCAGTACAAAACTACTATATTATAGTGAATCTGACACGATTTTAGTGACCAGGACCATAATTTTACCGGCGAGACTTTGATATTTTTTATTTTGCAACTTTATATATAGGTGAGTTATATTGATGACTTCTGCTTTATGTTGAAGTCCTGTACATGAAACCCTATATATTTGTTTAGTATGTGGAAATTTCATACTTCGGTTCTCTCAAGGGCTGATTACGATATAATACGAGAAACGTTTCTGTCCTGTTATATTTCATTCCCTCAATTCAATCTCTTGGATTTTTCAGCAATATGTGTCACAGCCAGAATCACAATTAATTTAAACGGACGATAGAGCCAAAGGACCGACACTTTGGAAATGTAAAAACTATTGATCTTGTGTCTCTGGGTCAATTAGCAGTAAGAATAATGATGAGAAATGTAGGTCTGTATCTGCAAAAAACTGAATTGATGATTGATCCAAGTAGATAAAATGACTAGTCACTCCAATGATGATTAAGAAAAATAAAAAACATGGCATTGGTTATTACCGATATTCTTCGAAAAAAAAAAAGTTATAGGGTTATAGTTAGTCAAGAGGATCGACTGTTTCGTTTGTGTTGCTCAACTTGCTAGAGTTGATTTCGTTCCCATAGTTGTCTCTGTTCATGGCATAATGTAAACAGAGAAAGTCATTGAAAGAAATCAAGTTTAGAAGGTAGAGCAAACACAAACGAACAAGCCTAAATTGTATGTATAGTAGTAATCCAACTTACTTGGGACTGTATCCTAGTGGCTATCAGATCAGGTAATAAGTCTATTTGTTCTTGTAATGTAGACAACTTGTCTTCCATTGTGGTAAGTCTATCTTCTAAGGTATCTTGCCTTGTGCTCATATCTGAGACGATTTCATAAACCGTATTTTGTGTCTGTAAGAAAATATAAGGTAGAATCAAGAACATTATATTGTGAGTCATCGAGAACTAACATTTCTACCAATAGTTTCCAGATACTGGAAAACCATACATCGAAGGTGAAATAGTAATTGATCAAATCCCCCGTAAATAAGTACTATAAGAGTAGAAAATATAACTGAATAATTTGTTCTGCTATTTCAATTTAGTGTGCCCATACCTGTTCCATATAGCCTTCATAGAATAGGTACCTATACCCTCACTGAAGAATACTCTTATCACCAACACCTCTTATTCTCCATCATTTTCAATAGTAAATTTGGGATGAAACTGATTGAAAATATCTCCATTTGGTAAAATGAATCAGTAGTAAGATGTCCTATATTGCTTACCGAATATGTAACAATATTTTTACGAGATCAGCGAAGTAGAGGTACGATTATCATAGGGTCCCATCCGTCGGAAAAACCCGTATAAATTTTAATATTTTTATTGAAAAGGCATATTCTCAGATAACATATTTTTAGTTAAATGAAGCTTTTATTTTGCTAAGAGTACTGTCACAAAATAATTATTGTTGAGTGTGAATTGTATGAGAGAGTTGGTATACTGTTGCGTTTCGGACTCGAATATACAGGGTGAGTCATGAGGAAATGTACATACTCCTACCACGAATAGAGGCCCCTGAGGGGGATACCCAATGTATATCTGAGAGTGTCTTCTTTTTCCATGATATAGGGTGAATTATGAGATTTGACAAAAATATCTTTTGGTCATAACTCTCCAACAGCTTCTTCGATTCGTCTGATTTTTTCATGGAATATTTCGCTACTACTCTATAATCGACTGACCTATTCAGTATCGGGAAAATGCAGGACCGTTCTTGAAAAATTGTGATAGTTGACTTTATAGCAAAAAGGTCATCCTGATGTATATCGTTTTTGTAAAGTGTGGCAGGAAATTTCCAAAGGTCACACACAAACATTAGAAATAAAATATTCCAAATTTACCTCATACTTTCACCTCAGTCTGAAAAACCCTATGAATTTAATGAAAAACGAAAATTTGGGAAGAAAATGTATTTATTTGGAAATTGATACTTCGCAACCCATACATTTCATGAATAGTAGTGAGACTTACATTTTCAATGCTTCAGCTCAATGGAAATCAACATATTATTTCATTTCCAGGTCTGGATTTAGTAATTAATTTTTTTTGTGGAGGATAATAATCTTTTTCGAATCAGTGTATGGGGTATCTGTGAAAATTCTGATGGCCAACGCTAAAAATGATTTCATGATTCCAATTCACAGTTTTATCTTTTCGATTTGTTTTATTCAGTTATTTTGGTCAATAGAAATATTATCCGCCTTTGTCAGTATAGCTATTGTGAATAAACCTCCATCTTCTGATATCCATCAACCATCACCATCTGAATAGATACTCCATATAAAGGAACCTTCAAAAAGGCTCACGAGAGAGATCCTGTCACTTAATAGGAGGGATCTCAAGATGGTAGTTGGGCTCTTAACTGGGCACAACCACCTCAACAGGCACCTAGAACTCATAGAGGGATCAAAGATGATCCCATCTGCAGATGGTGCTTGGAGGATGATGAAACATCATCACACATACTCACTGAATGCCCCGCGCTGGTGCATCAGAGGAAAGCTGCCTTTGGGAGCATTGTACTGCACCCAAAGGATGTGAAAGTGACTCAGCTGAGGAAGCTGCTGGATTTCGTCAAAGAAATCGGCATGCCCAGCTGATTCACAAGACAAGTGGGCGCACAATGGGCCCGACTGAAGAGGCCTGAGTGCAGGGGTCTACGCACCCGCCCACCTGTGCAGAGAAGAAGAAGAAGAAGAAGATACTCCATCCACTGATTTGAAAAAGATCTACAGGGTGATTATTACCCCCCACAAATAACGAAATAACGATATCCAAGCCTGAAAATGAAAGAACATATTGATTTCCATTGAGCTAAAGCATTGAAAATGTGCGTCTTACTTTCACTTTACTTTCGTTTTTGCTATAATTTATCGTTTTTTGAAAAATTCTGTGAAACTATGAGGAGAATTTTAAATATTTCATTTTTGATACTTGTTTGTGTGCTTTGAAAATTCCCTGTCACAATTTACAAAAACCATATACAGGATAAAAACTACACTATCGAAATTTTTCAAGAACGGTCCTGGATTTTTCCGATTCTTGGAATGTCAGTCGATTAGGGTTTAGTAGAGGAATATTCCATGAAAAAATCAGATGAATCGAAGGATCTGTTGAAAAGTTATGCCCAAAAGATGTTTTTGCCGAATCACATAATTCGTCATATACAGTGTGACCCACTTGAAAGCGGGATACCTCAATAAAATTTGTATTAAAATCTACCGAGTTCGAAAAACTGTACTTCAGGACGAAACATACTTATATTTCTACAAAATCCAAGGCGTGTACTGCGTTTATTTTTAGAGAATAAAAATCGAGAAATCGTATTAGCGTTTTTTTTACGAGGATTCAGCACCCCCTCAAATGGTTGTATACCAAATTTCATGAAAAAATATTCGATATTAATGATTTTGTGGCCAAATCAAAAATCGAGTTTGTATTATAAGTAAATTCGAGTATATGATGAAATGAAATAAATAAAAAGTAATAATGATTATGTGGCAAATGAGAGAAATGAATGGAACAATTAAAATACAATAACTATTATAGTGCAATGCATTTATCATATCTTCTTCTTATATTCAATATTACTTTTCTCAGTTGTTCTGGCGTGATTTCTGCATAAGCTGCAGTTATTCTGATACGAAGTTCTTCTACTGACTGCGGTCTAGACTTACAAACTTTTTGTTCCACAAATCCAGTGGTGTCAGGTCCGGGGATCTTGGCGGCCAGTGAATGAAAGGACTATTCCGACCAATCCACCGATTTCTGTAATTATCAGCCATTCTCTCACCAAGGCTGCGTTAAGTACAGGAGAGCCATCTAATTGAAATTTCAAATTCAGGCGATCAGGCACTGGTAAATTATGTATTGCGTCCCAGAACTCATTGCTTAAAAGGTCCAAAAATATATTTCCATTCAGATTACCGTCAAAGAAAAAAGGGTCGATAATCTTATCAATGAGTATGCCACACCACAGTTATTTTATAAGAATACTGATTTTTGCATTGATAACCCAATAAGGATCATCTTTAGACCAGTACCTTGAATTTTACGACGACACAACTTTGTTTATAGTGAACGTAGCTTGGTCACAAAATTATTAATATCAAATATTTTTTCATGAAATTCGGTATTCAACCATTTGAGGGGGTGCTGAATCTAATGGTGATTTTAAGTTTTTCGAACTCTACAATTCAAAAAAAAGTTCGTCAAAATCGGTGGATTAACACAAATTTTATTAAGCTGTCCCGCTTTCGAATGGGTCACACTGTATATTGGTAAAGAAGGGAAGAAGACACTTTCTGATGGTCATTAGTAATTCTCCTCAAGGGCCTCTATTCGTGGTAGGAGTATGTACAGTTCCTCATGACTTTCCCTGTACATTGTTGATAGTTGTGCTCTTAGATTATGTGAATCCCGAACAGATGGTAACAATAAAAAGAGTTTTCCATTGAAATTAATGGAGGAGATATTTGACCTTTCGAGGACATTTGCCCATCCCTGTATAGTGTATATACCTCCTGACGGAGCCGACTGCCGTATATCTCCGAATTTTCCTTCAGCAATTACTTGGCTCAGGAGAATAAAAAAGAGCTTCCAGGATATAATGCTTGCAGGACATTCTACTGCCTCTCGCTGAATGAGTCGTCGTCTACAGAATCGAACACTTAAACTTTATTTTCCTTCATCAGCAATTCTACTATTCCTTTTTCGCGTAGAAACCCGAAATTCTTACAGAAGTATTCACCGAATTGCTAGCCACATATTTTTCAATTTCCAAATGGGAATTAATGACCTAATTTTTTACGATACATTAATCCGAATCTGAAGAGGAGTGAATTAGAGTGCGGAGTGTTCACAGTTCACACAGCGTGAGAAGAGGGTGATAGATACAGAAGGAAGATCAAGAATATCGACGTTTGAAATAGTATGTTTGAGATGAATTGCCATCTTATATCTTGGATTACCTATAACCCAGTTAACCACTCTTGTATCAGCTCTGTCACACGACAGATCAGACAAAGAACAAACCGTTCTGAAACATATTTTGCAACATGCATCCAGAATATTACTTGTTGTATTTCAACAAAACAGTGTTTCTTCACATTCTTCATAAATGTAACTCTGATACTTCTCAACGTTTTGAAACTAATGCAACTCGCATCTATGATACGACTCGTGATTGTTACGAAACAGTGTTTTATCACACGTTCCATCGACGAGATCGAATTGATTCATTCCAAGCATCATCCCAAGAAAGAACTTTGTTTCAACCAAATTTCAACACAAAGTTTCATTTAGTATTCATAAAATCAATAGTGTTATAAGATTTATAAACGCGTAAAAAAATTATTAGGGGTCATCAAAAATAAACTCCAATACATAAATTAATTAGGTTAGTAAATTTAGTTCTTCCTATTCGAATAGGTATAGATATGCAATCAAATGTAATGGAACATGTGATAGTTCAACTTATGCCTTTGATTCCATATCAGACCGAATTTCGTATGTGCTTTATCTCTGATTGGAACATATCTGTGAAGAAACTTGATAGAGCTGCTGGATATTTGAGTCAGCTGGGAATAAGAAGCATATTATGCTCACGCTTGAGAATGAGAATATCAACTTTGGACAGGTTCTTGAAAGAAATACTTAAAACGTAGAGAGTGATTTACCTTGGCCATATCAGTTATGGTATTGGCATTATCCATTAGTTTACGTTGGTCCATTTTAACTTTCCTTAACCTGTAAAAATAAAAGCAAGACATGAAAAAAATTAATTCACTAATATCCATGGTCACGTTAGTTTTTTTCCAGCATGGATCCTATACTCTAGAGCTCTGAGGATATTCATCTATTTTTCTTATCAGACAGTATCATCACATTTGAATAGAGAGCTTTTTCTATAATCATCAATAGCCCTAGACGGTAAATTCGCTATACCAAACTTAAAATAAAAAGAGTTTGAAACAATGATGAATCGATCGGGAAAGTATTCCAAAATGTTAGTTCCTGAGTATTCAGGTATCCATTCACTGAACTGGTAAGTAGGTATTAAAATTACTGAAAGACGTTCAAGAATGACGTGTTCCTATGTATATCTCCAAGGGATGTTGAAAATAAAATCAACTTGAGTCCAAATTCTATCTATAATTCCGTATGCCTCTGTATATAGAACTACTCTCTCAAAGTTGCTAGTTCAAATCATATCGAATTGTACCAAATTCAATTTTGAGACATATACTCCTCTTTATTTTTGAGCACCAAATCACGAAATATATACCAAACGTGATTATGGGACAAACTGTCTACTATTGGATGGGTACTATTATGATGAAAAAAATAAGATCATGAAAGGCTGATATGCAAATTACCGAAGACCCTCTACATATTCCAACAATATGTGTCATATTTTATGTATTTTAAATTCGTAGCAGGAGAACAATTTTCGTAAGTGCGAAGAGCGCTTATAAAGAGATGTATATATATCTCGTATCAACTTAAACTAACCATAAATCCAATGCTGAATTACCCTCCTCTTGAGAAAAATTGTGACATTATCTGGAAGTTATGAGCAGGATTTGCTACGAATGTTCCAAAAATGTACTCAACGTTCGCCAATGGCATTACTGGATGAAATTACAGACTCAAACATTTTCACTATATCTTAATCGATTACATTCTGAAAATTCTATTTTATACTTACGCATATATTGCAAGTAAAAATTTTCTTTGGTGAGTACGAACCCTACCTGGGTTCACTCTTTTCACTAGCCTTGTATGTTTATATATCAACCAGGTCTCCCTTAGAACATTAGCAGCTGCATTTTTCAACTAAAAAATAGATAGGTATCAAAATTATGTATGCATAGATTCTCCGCTCGCTCGGATTATGATGAAAATATTAATATTGAATGAGCGAATAACAGACAACTAACAAATCGATCACCCTGTACATAATCGCATGACAGGAAATAATAATAATAATAATGATGATGATAAAAGCTTTATTGATACTTATACCGCTCGCCACTGGACTGAAATTATGCGTATATTTTTCCTTGTATGATAATTGAAGACAAAAAACTTCAGCGCTGAAAACATTCTAGCTAGTACGAGTGGAAAACGGTATTAGTTTGATCTAATGAGTTTGAGAAAAGAAATACTCAGTATTGATATTTTTGGCTGTGACCGAAAATAGCGGTAATGATTATTATGCACCGATTGAATGGAAACTAATATATGAGGTGAAAAATACATGTATTATGTAAATCGACTTACCCTTTTGGTGAGCTGCGTGTCCATCATAAAATTATGTACATGTTTCTCTGCTCTCGTTAATTCTAATTTTCTTGATACTACTGCTACTAATAAGGCTGTACATCCAGCTCCCTGAAAATATAAAATTATTATACAGGGTGATTCAGGTTTTAAGGTGAAAACTGAAGTGAGTTATAGATCTCATCATTTTGATGAAAAAATGTGTATACATGTGTGTCCGATCTCGATCAGTAGCAGAGATTATTTTTTTCTATTGATTGAAATATCTCTCTCACTCTTGAATCAATTTGAAATTTGGTGTGATCAATACCTTCTAGAAGATCATAATAATAATAATAATAATAATATTTATTTCACTTGTTAAACCGTATGAAAGCGTTACAATAAACATTTACGTACAGTAACAAGGAATACGTCTGTGTATAAATAAGAGAGTAGGAGATAAATATATATATAGAAAAAAAAACATACATTTTATATAAAACGACAAAACTTGACACCTATTAATTTGGACATATACAGATGGGTGATTTATTGATTATCGTGAGTTACTAAAACTCGTCAACGGTGTAGCAGTTTCTTTCTATGAGACATTTTTTTAATTGTCTTTTGAATATGGAGATATTCTTTGAATCCTTAAAAGAAACATCTAGCTTGTTAAATAGTTTGGGTCCAAGGTAGAGGTGACTCCTCTGATAAAGGGAGGTTCGGTGAGGGTTTGCTATCAGCAAACCTCTTGCTCTCGTTGGATAAGGGTGGTCTTGTTGGTTTGCCCTAAATTTATCTCTATTCTTATAAACGTAGAGACATATCTCATATATATACAGACCAGCAACTGTGAGTATTTCCAGCTCTCTAAATGAGTTTCTGCATGATTGTCGCCATCCTAAATTAGCAATTATTCTGACCGCGCGTTTTTATGAAGCATTTCAAAGATTCTTGAAATCCACAGGGTGATACGTTTTTGGGGGTAGAGGCTTCTTTATTCTCCCCAAACTTTTTCGCAGCACACCTCTGACATCTTCCAGTTACAAAATCGGGGGTGGTTCGTTGAATTTATAGATCTCAATTTTTTCCGAGAAACGCAACGCATTCGAGATAAAAAATCATATACGTGCAATAACATGTTAATGTTGCCTATTACGATTCGATTAATGCAATAAAATGTACCAAATTCCAATCTGAATCAGTAAGGTACAGGGGATAGAAAGTCAGGTTGCTTTAAACCGACCAATCCAACGTCGACGTGGAAAATTCGTGTTAAGCCACTGGTTAAGTCTTATTCAGTTTCAATATCATTCGAAACGATAAAAAAATAAAATAGCATTCACCTTGTCTGGAAATATGTGATGTGATTATTCATTATTGTTAATTAATTTTGTCCAAGAACATAATTTGAAAGGGAAATATAGATGATGAAATTAACATGCTTCAGAACGAAAATAAAAATTGGGTAGCAAAAAAGCCTCTGAATTGAACGATCCACCGTAATTGGTAACTATAAAATGGTGGAGGCGTACTACGAAAAATTTGGGGGGATAAAAGAGGCATATACATCCAAGAACGTATCACCTTGTACATTTTACAAATGTCTAAAATGATAAAAATGATGAATTCCTTAAAAGTATTAACCACACCAAACTGCAATTCAATATCTTCAGAAGTGAGCGAGATATTCTAATTATAATAGAAAAAAAGAATTGAACTTTGACCCCATGTAGATCCACTACTGATCGAGATTGGACTCATGTTAATATGAACTTCATTAATTGGAATGATGAGATCTATCGCCCATTTCAATTTGCACCTCAAAACCAGAATCACCCTGTATATAATGATGTCGATTAACTCGAAGATTCTAGATGTTTGTGAATCAATGACTACGATGCAACAAAGACTGTTTCGGCTTGCCAAGCATCATCAGTTGTACTAGGCCAGCTAACAAAAGATTCAAAAGAATCCCCTAGAGTCTCTCAGTGTCGAGATTTCAAATTCCTCAACACTCGTCGGTGAGGCATTGAAATACTTGGATTAGGCAGCTTTTCAAACGAAATTGTCATTTAATAGTATATTGTATAACAAATATTATAAACGTCCTTTAAGTAACGAGTATTTCAAGCACGAGGGCAGCATAGCAAAGCGAGTGTTTGACAAACGAGTGTCTACAAGAGTTTATAAACGCGTTACATACTATACTTTTTCAATGAACTCGTAATTCCTCTCTTCGACACGATAACCTACAAATTAATTCGAAGAGTGGGAATTGAGAACATATGCAACTGCATGCAACCAACGAGGCACGTATAAGTGATATTGGTTGTACACTCTAAGAAAACTGTTGGTGTCTTTTTCAATTCCAGACTGTTAGAATTAACACTAACCCTATTCAACACCAAAATTGTACTATCCTATCATAAGTATTGGGAATTTGATATCGTGGAGTTCGACGGTGTGAATCGTGATACATTATGGCAAATCTGAATTCGGAATCACACTTTTCATACTCATTATTTGAATTCAAACTGTAAACATCAAATTATTCTATTCATGAATCACAAAGTTGATATATTCTGAAAAATTATCATTAGTAGGTGTAATTTTTCAAAATTCATATCATGAAAGTGATCAACTATCAAATTTTTCATGTGGCTATCAATTTTATGAAGTATCCATATTCACACAAATAATTCCTCTTCAAGATATTCACCTAGTAATGAGATTGATAACCAAACCAGTGTATTTTCTGATATCACTGGAATAAATGACACTGGAATAGTTGTAAATCAACACCACTAATATCAGAAAAACATCGGAACAAATTTGTCGCCATACACTGTTGCCACCTCGTCTATTTTATATTACTTAAACCTATTTCATATATAACACTTTGAACATCGTGGTGTAAGATAATGATTAGAAGTTGATGAATTCAATATCAATATGATGCTCTCTAATTAATGACTGCAACATTCTGTATCATTACTGCAGAGCTTACATGCATTTTGGTCCACCATTCGTCAAACGTACTCGACAGGCTGAGTCAGCACATCATCGTTTTGTCGTCAATCTAGAATTATGTCAAACAACTCCTTTCCAAAACACGTTTGTCAATGGAACGACGAAGCTTCGGTATTCTTTGCCAACGGAAGTATTTCCAAGAACTTATGAGGACAATTTCATTTAAGTACCTACTGCCTATGTTCATTAAATTATCATGAAACTAGGTACATATACTTAGTTATTTCATATCGTGATGCTTGGCAACCTTGCGCATCTTCTTTGTGTACGTGCTCCCATCACTTCCACACTCCAGACTCCAGAGTTCCACAGCCATTCGTAGTAAACGTTGAGCAATATTCAGCACTGTCTCTCTTCACTGTGCTTTCAATAAGCACGGATCATGTTGCTCTTCCAGTGTAAAGTGCATGATTGTTTCTATCATGAAGTGTATAAAAATAAAATTCAAATGCTCAGAAAAGTTTATTGAGGAGTCAAAATCAGAAACAATTGTCTCGATGTTTCGACACAACACCAAAATCGATGGGACACAGAGCTACCACAGGTAATACAGGTTAAAATGAGTTGATTGGACCTAACTTGTTTATATAAAAGAATGTACCGTTTGTCCGTGAGGTGAGTTTAAAGTTTTCATAAATAAACACATTTTCGTTCGCTGATCGCTGTTCAAAAATGAGTGAAACAAATTGGATGATATTCGACGAAAGTGCATTTTAGAGTATAACTCTTCTTTCAGTAATCGAAGAATCCCGAAAGAAATTGTAGATCTTTTGAAAATATGTTTATTTATGAAAACTCTGTATATTTTTCAATAAAAAGAAGTTGGATCCAATCAACTTATTTTGACCCGTATTACCTGTGGTAGCTCTGTGTCCCAGCAATTTTGAGATGCCCTGTATATCTCAACAAAAATATTTCACACTATAATGAATTACAAATTGATTGAACATACCTAAATGTGTCAGAATTCTGAAGATTCGTGTCAGATGAAGAACTGTCCTCAATTAGAATTGACACAATTCCGGTTAAGAATTCAATGATCTGGTGTAAATAAACACCGTATTCATTGTAGATTTGATCATTTGATGATGATTTTGTAAACTCATTCTGGTGTGACTTTAAATATACTGATGTTTTTCATGATCAATAGTATTGTGATTCACACCAGACCAGTGCGAACTTTATCAGAAAATATCGCACATAACACACCAGACTGGTATTACTTTACATCCATTTCGAAATCACAAATCTCACCTGGAAATGTGCAGAGATAGCACCAAACACCGGTGCTCTACAAATAGGTGTGAATTAACACTGAAATATGCAGGACCTCTAAGGAAATCATTCGGTGTTAGCTGGTGTCAACTGGTGTTCCAGTTTTTCTTAGAGTGTAGATGTGTCCAGTCCATAGGATACATGGATTTTAACACATTTGTGGATAAGAAGAGTTCATCTGACGATTTCTCAGGTTATATCCATATTCTGATTGCATAATTTTCGCTTACATAAATGTTCTTACGTTTATATATTTTATAATAATAATGAAAATATGATAAATATTATCTTCGATTTCACTTCCGTCTACATTTTGCCCAAATTTTTAATGAAGAATTCTGATGCAAACAGAAGATGTTTGATCATTTCTAATTGTCTACGATTGCAAATTGCAACGAAATTCCGAAATGCCAGTTGACAGTTCGTAGAATTGACACGCCGGACAGGACTCGAACGACTGAAGGTATGTTTGAAAAACCGTGTTGCCATGGTAATGTGTCCAAGAAATTGTGTTGCCATAGTAACTTGTTTAATTTTTCGAATGAATTACAGATCGTAAATCTGTGATTAATCGATCATTTAGAGTGGTAAGTATATATCTGTACGCTTAATGTCATATTTGTTATGTGAGTAGAAAAATATTATTCTTGCTGCATAACATATCCTCATAGAATTCAACCACTATATTATGTCAATATCATTACATGCGATAGCCCCATTCAATTAATGATCGAATTCAACTGATTGCTTTAATGGACTGAAGATATCTCGCTTCACAATCTGATTTTACCATTCATTGAGTTTTCGTATATATAATA